GAGGCATCGGAGGCAACACAACATATCTACAACCATACAGTCTTTGATAAACCTGACAAAAACAAGCAATGGGGAAAGGATTCCCTGTTTAATAAATGGTGTTGGGAAAACTGACTAGCCATGTGCAGAAAGCAGAAACTGGACCCCTTCCTGACACCTTACACTAAAATTAACTCCAGATGGGTTAAAGACTTAAACATAAGACCTGGCACCATAAAAACCCTAAAAGAAAATCTAGGCAAAACCATTCAGGACATAGGAGTAGTCAAGGACTTCATGACCAAAACACCAAAAGCATTGGCAACAAAAGCCAAAATAGACAAATGGGACCTAATCAAACTCCACAGCTTCTGCATGGCAAAAGAAACAGTCACTAGAGTGAATCGGCAACCAACAGAATGGGAAAAAATCTTTGCAGTTTACCCATCTGACAAAGGGCTGATATCCAGAATTTACAAAGAACTCAAACAGATTTACAGGAAAAAACAAACAAGCCCATTCAAAATTGGGCAAAGGATATGAACAGATACTTTACAAAAGAAGACATATATGAGGCCAACAATCATAGGAAAAAATGCTCATCATCACTGGTCATCAGAGAGATGCAAATCAAAACCACATTGAGATACCATCTCACGCCAGTTAGAATGGCAATCATTAAAAAATCTGGAGACAACAGATGCTGGAGAGGATGTGGAGAAAAAGGAACACTTTTACACGGTTGGTGGGAGTGTAAGATAGTTCAACCATTGTGGAAGACAGTGTGGCGATTCCTCAAGGCCTTAGAAATAGAAATTCCATTTGACCCAGCAATCCCATTACTGGGTATATATCCAAAGGACTATAAATTGTTCTACTATAAGGACACATGCACACGAATGTTCATTGCAGCACTGTTTACAATAACAAAGACCTGGAATCAACCCAAATGCCCATCGATGATAGACTGGATTGGGAAAATGTGGCACATATACACCATGGAATATTATGCAGCAATCAAAAACAATGAGTTTGTGTCATTTGTAGAGACATGGATGAATCTGGAGAACATCATTCTCAGCAAACTGACACAAGAACAGAAAATGAAATACCGCATATTCTCACTCATAGGCGGGTGATGAAAAATGAGAACACATGGACACAGGGAGGGGAGGACTAAACACTGGGGTCTATTGGGGGGAAAAGGGGAGGGCCAGCGGGGGGGTGGGCAGCTGGGGAGGGATAGCCTGGGGAGAAATGCCAAATGTGGGTGAAGGGGAGAAAGGAAGCAAAACACACTGCCATGTGTGTACCTATGCAACTGTCTTGCATGTTCTGCACATGTACCCCAAAACCTAAAATGCAATAAAAAATTTAAAAAAGAAATTTTATGTTAGGAGAGTTTCAACACTCAGGTTTTGAAAGATAATTGAAGGAACTAATTTCCTAGGGAGGCATGATAGCCTTAGAATATGTTCATCTGTACCCCTCTGGTAGAATTTACAGAGTCCTCGGTATTTGATTCATGTCACCAAATAATGTTAGTTGATGATTTATTTAAAGACAGAAATTATTAAATGAGTCTGATAAATAAAGAACCCATAAAGAAAGATGAAAAGATAACTGAAAGAAAAAATGCAGAGGAAGAGACGTACCATTTGCTAAGTGCCTGCTAGGTTCTAAACACTTCATGCAATCACAAAAAGTACATATTGCTCTAATCCTCATTTTAGATCTGACGAAACTGATCAAATCAACAGCAGAGCCCAGATGTGAATTGAGGTCTGTTTGTTACAAAACCATTGATCTTTTCAGCCTTGTGTACTGTAGTGCCTACGTTGAATAAGCATGTGATCTGGCCTTAGTGGTAGGTTGCATTAAATCTTCCAACTCTTCACTGCTTCCTGTGAAGATGCCATGTCACTTCATGGGCACCTGTCACTGTGGAAAGAGGTACCCTTCATATCTCAAGTCTAGTTCCAACCATGTGACTTATTTTGGCCAATGGGATATTAATAGGCATTATGTAAGCAGTGGCTTGAAGAGCATTTGCATGATTGGACTTGTGTAACAGAGCAATTCCAATCATGTAAATGAGCACCAGCACCATGAGAAAGACCCACTGGTCCACAGAGAGAATGAAAAACACATGAATCGAATTCACCCAGCTTGCACCAGGTGAGCTAGTGAGTTACAGGCACATGAGTGAATGCAGCCATGACCACCAGAACCATCCATCCATCCTCACCATTCTCAGTTCAGCCACTTTGGTCCATCTACAGATGTGTGAAAATAAATACCATTGTTTCAAGCCACTGAGTTTTGAGATGAATTATTATCAACAATTTTGTGACAAGAGCTGATGAATATACCTCCTTATACCTTATCCCGTAGGCACAAGGAATTAGGTTGTGATGCATGTTTTTCTTTTCTTTTTAATCCTACAGGTTGCAAAATCTACAAAAGATTGACTATTGTTCTTATACAAGGTTTAGGAAAATTTTTCGAAGAATTAATCCTAGAAGTGTTCCCTAAGAGTCCTCGAAATATTGAAATGAGCAGCCATAATATACAATTAAACAACTATGAAATTACAAGTCCCATTTAACGTTCATAAAGTTTTTAAATCTTCCTAGTTTTTCTTATTATTGCCATTTTACTAACACTCAGGCAAGAATCTATTTCATATATTCTTTAGTGGCTGCAGTCCACTGCTTAGAATAGGTCCTTTGTGGTTATATATCTATCAAAGTTTTACCCATACTTGGAGACTTAGCTCCAATTTTCTCTCTTTAATAAATATTGCTATAAGCTAGTCTCCTTTTCAATCCTAATCACTTGCCACTAGCCAAAAATAATCTCTGTCACACAGTTTTTCAATGGCAATGTATCTGCCCATTTTTACAGTCCCTTAACACTTTTCAGTAGAGTTTTGAGGTATTTTTGTGCATTCTAACCCATCTGGTCACAATACAATATGTCACAAACTGAATTGCCTCCAGAAGCCAGGATGGCAAATGGCAATCAAGGGTGGTGGGGGTTCTAGTGAAACATACCACATCAGAAGGGACAAAACTGTACTTGGGTCCACCTAGTTTTTGCCAGCAGAAGAATATGAGATCAGAGTTGATAAATCTTCCAATTTTTCAGAAGATTTTTAAATTCTCATTTTTTAAAATTATACTTTAAGTTCTGGGGTACATGTGTGGATTCTGCAGGTTTGTTACATAGGTATGCACGTGCCATGGCGGTTTGCTGCTTCCATCCTTCTGTCATCTACATTAGGTATTTCTCCTAATGTTATTCCTCCCCAAATCCCTCCATCTTCTGCTGTTCCTCCCCTAGTACCCCTACCCCTCAACAGGCCCTTTTGTGTGATGTGTCTATGTGTTCTCATTGTTCAACCCACTGATAAGTGAGAACGTGCAGCATTTGGTTTTCTGTTCTTGTATCAGTTTGCTAATAATGATGGTTTCCAGGTTCATCCATGTCCCTGCAAAGGACATGAACCCATCCTTTTTATGGCTGCATAGTATTACATGGTGTATATGTGCAACATTTTCTTTTATCCAGTCTATCAATGATGGGCATTTGGGTTGGTTCCAAGTCTATGCTATTGTAAACAGTGCCACAATAAACATACATGTGCCTGTCTTTATAATTGAATGTTTTATCATCTTTTGGGTATATACCTAGTACTGGGATTGCTGGGTCAAATGATACTTCTAGTTCTAGATCCTTGAGGAATCACCACACTGTCTTCCACAATGGTTGAACTAATTTACACTCTCGCCAACAGTGTAAAAGTGTTCCTATTTCTCCACATCCTCTCCAGCATCTGTTGTCTCCTGATTTTTTAATGACTGCCATTCTAACTGGCATGAGATGGTATCTCAATGTAGTTTTGATTTGCATTTCTCTAATGACCAGTGATGATGAGCATTATTTCATACATTTGTTGGCTGCATAAATATCTTCTTTTGAAAAGCATCTGTTTATAACCTTTGCCCACTTTTTGATGGGGTTGTTTTTTCTTGTAAATTTGACTCCAGTTTGATTAAAGATTTAAACATAAGAAGTAACACCATAAAAACCCTAGAAGAAAACCTACGTAATTACCATTAAGGACATAGGCATAGGCAAGGACTTCATGACTAAAATACCAAAAGCAATGGAAACAAAAGCCAAAATAGACAAATTGGATCTAACTAAACTTAAGAGCTTCTGCACAGGAAAAGAAACTATCATTAGAGTAAACTGGCAACCAGCAGAATGGGAAAAAATTTTTGCAATCTACCCATTTGACAAAGGGTTAATAAGCAGAATCTACAAAGAACTTTAAAAAAATCACCATTTTTATGTAAAATTTCCCAACTTTATGTGAAAATAATCATCTTAAAATATTGCTATGACAGATTTCATTACTGTTTTGAATTCATTCCATCCCTATAATAATATTATATACCCACTTTCTTGAGGCAGAATACAATACCCTGCCCCACTTTCAAGAAAGGCATTGACTATACTTCGTATTCCAAGTCTAATCAGAGTTTTAAATATGTCACCTCTGCTCACACAATGAGAGACACATGGACAGACCTGAACCCTGACCTGCAAGCAGTCACCCCAGTTGACCTGCAGACACATGAGCAAGAAAGGCAAATATGTGTTGTATGCCATTGAGATTTCCAGGCTCATATTGTACACAACATTTTTGGGTCTAGAATCTGACTTTAAAAGTTGGCCGTAAATTTTAGGAGAAAAGTTAAAGCACAAAACATTCTGGTAACCAAGTTTGACTCACAGCCTCTGGGTCTCAACCTTCATTACTGGGAGTTTTTTGAAATGTGAAACAGGTTCACTGTGTACTGCTTGAAGATTTGACTGAGGCTGGTAGACAGAATACACTCACATGTAACAAGTTACATAAAGTTGCTTTATTACTTACAGATAGACTGCAAAAGAAAACAGAAGCCTAGGATTTCCCCAAGGCTCAGAAGAGATGCCCACAGCAGATGGATTCTCAACTGCACATGCCCCAATTATACCACAGATAACTGACCCCAAAAAACAGACTGCCCCAGGTTTTATACACCAAGGTCATGGAGCTCTCTGGGCTAAATTATTGAAGGGTATCATGTTTCCAGCAAGAGACTGGAACAGAGACAAAGCTAATCTGGCCAGCTTCTCCTTATCTCAGGATCTTACATCTTCAGCACATTCTGCAGTTATTTTTGAGAACTATAAGCCAGAAAGTGGGGAGACATGGGTTGGTCCAAAGACACCTGGAAAACTGTCCTACGTAAGAGTCACTCATAGTGAGTGTTATTTCTATTTAATTTTCTTCTTTCTCATCTTTGCAATATCAAACATTCTGTCCATCACAGAAGAAAAAACCATATATGAGGCCAACAAACATATGAAAAAATGCTCATCATCACTGGTCATTAGAGAAATACAAATCAAAACTACATTGAGATACCATCTCACATCAGTTAGAATGGCAATCATTAAAAAATCTGGAGACAACAGATGCTGGAGAGGATGTGGAGAAATAGGAACACTTTTACACTGCTGGTGGGAGTGTAAATTAGTTCAACTATTGTGGAAGAAAAAGTGTGGCAATTCCTCAAGGACCTAGAAATAGAAATTCCATTTGACCCAGCAATCCCATTACTGGGTATATATCCGAAGGATTATAAATCTTTCTATTATAAGAACACATGCACATGAATGTTCATTGCAGCACTGTTTACAATAGCAAAGACCTGGAACCAATCCAAATGCCCATTGATGACAGATTGGACAGGGAAAATGTGGCACATATACACCATGGAATACTATGCAGCCATAAAAAACGATGAGTTTGTGTCTTTTGTAGGGACATGGATGAACCTGGAAACTATCATTCGCAGCAAACTGACACAGAACAGAAAATCAAACACTGCATGTTCTCACTCATAGGCAGGTGTTGAACAATGAGAACACATGGACACAGGGAGGGGAGCATCACACATTGGGGTCTGTGGAGGGGAACTAGGGGAGAGACAGCAGAGGGTGGGGAATTGGGGAGGGATAACATGGGGAGAAATGCCAGATACAGGTGATGGGGAGGAAGGTAGCAAACCACATTGTCATGTGTGTACATATGCAACAATCTTGCATGTTCTTCACGTGTGTTGTGTACCCCAAAACCTAAAATGCAATAAAATATATATTTAAAAACCCTAATGTTTTCCCTAACATCAAATCTGTTCTTTTGAAAGACAGGATACATATTATGCAGAGTCAGATTATAGGCAGATCAACCTAAAAAGGATGCTGAGTCATCACCAGAGTAAACTAACTTGAGTTTCCACACCATTCCATACATAAACCCTATCAAAGTAGATAGCACCCTTGAAGGGAAATTCGATAAGCCTCCTCTTCACCATTGGCTTAATTCTATTGAGTATTCTGAGACAAGTAGGAGCTATCTTATTTAGCCACAAGCTGACAATTTAAGGTTTGCTGCAGTACTAATCCTGGATAAATAAAAATGTCATTCATAGAGAAGTTTATTTCTCTCTCTAGAGGTTTTGTTTAGCTGTCCTGGTGGGTACATGAACTCAATGGTGTCTGAGACAGGCCTTCTACAGTACTCTTCTGCCATCCTAAATGATATCATTCTCAAGTCAAAATGACTCACTGCAATATCCACATTCCAGTCAATAAGGAGGCGAAAGGAAGTAGAGGTCTGCCCCCTTTACTTGAACAGGCATGACCCTGAAGTTGTACACAGCTCCTCTGTTAACATGCTAAAGGCCAGAGCATTGTCAAATGGTTCCTTGATGGCAAGGAAGACCGGGAAATGTAGTTTTTATAGAAATATTGCTACCCAACTAAAGCTTTTCAATTACTATTGAAAGAAAGAATATGTATTTAAGAGACAGCTAACAGTCTCTGTGTAACATTCAGATAAACCTTTTGACAACTTTTTAAACATTCGTTCTGCTCTGGTCAGTGCATGTTAATTCATAAGTAGACCTGTCTTTATGTATATTTCTTTAATGCAAATCACTTTTCTCCCTTACTTCCACTAAATAAATATTTAGGAAAGAGGTTTTAAGAAATATATTTAAAATAGGACCATAATTTTAGTCTGCCTAAAATGGCCACAGGATTTTTCCTGCTACCACAGGATAAATATTCAGTAAATTTCATTTTGAAATAAAAAATGTATGACTTTCACAAATGATACTAAGCCAGGTGAACTGTATTTATTCATTACGTTGTTAGTGGTCATCTATTTATTGAAGGACAGTCATGGTAAAGTCATTTTGTTAGGCGTAGGGTATACAAATACATAGCAAAATGCATGTGATCCTTGTCTTCATGATATCAACCACATAATCACAAAATAGAAACGTGATTACAAATGGAAGTAAGTACAATTAAAGTTGGTTCAGAGTGCCTGGTAGTATGTAGACAATGTATATGAAAATAAATAAGCCCTTAGAGACCACAAAAAGCTTCTCCTTTTGCACTCCAGCATTGACTCTAGCTCTCTTTGTGTATCTTTTGCATTGAGGAGAGACCGAAGGGATTCCCGAAAAATGTGCCACCCAGAAAGGTAGCTTATTAGCTTCCAGACACCACAGAGTTACACCTGCTAAGAGTGATGTATTGATACAGCAGTTAATTTTTGCTCTAATCTAGTTTTCTTCAACAATAACAAAAAAAAAAAAGCTGAGTAGCCTGTATGAATAATAGAAAACAGCTCAAGGATGTGTTTGTTCCAAACCCTGCTGTCCGCTTCTCTCCTGGAAGTCTTTGTTGAACTGCCAAAATGATAATGGACTTCATCAAAAGCACTCCAACAGTCAGTGCTTAGTAGAAATGAAGGAGGATGCTGGGAAATTTTCATTGCTGTGCCAAGATTCTGGATCTAAAAAAAGGAACAGGCTTTCTTTTAAAGGACAGCAAGATACAAAGTAAAGTAGCACCTCTAGATTATACGTTATCAAGAACTTTTTCGAAACCATGGTTTCTGTTTTTAGGTTTTTTCACTGCATACACTAATATTTTCTATTTTATTATCAATATATTATGAATACTACTCTTACAAAATCTCACTCTATAGCCCCTGCCTCCTGGAATAGTTGCCCCTTTCTGCACTGGTGCCTCTGCCATGACACCCATAGGCTCCAGGATGATGTTCACTCAATTCTCATCTCCACCTTTAAGCCCACACAAGCATCTTGCTCCTGCTCTCCTCCACAGTGTTCAACAAAACCACAGGACTTAAATACCCAAGAATCCCATGTTCTAACACACAATGAGCACCTCCTGGCCTCAATAAGGATAGTAGAAGAGGGGATTATCCCTGAAGTCAGGAGAACTTGGACAATTTGCCAGGCCTCTGGAAACTTTGGTTTCCACAATAGTAAAACATAGTTAAGAATGACTGATCTTCTTTACCTTCTGAGGTTTTAATGAGATGAAGTGTATGAAAGCACTTTGAAGATGACAGCGTATGCTGTATAAGCCAAAGGAATGAGTATCAGGGTGTTCCCTAAAGACACTGGATATAGGATGTTTTAAAGGTCCTCAAAATCTTGCTGCCTTTATAACTTCACCCCTCCCCCAAATCTCAATATAAACCAGCTTATCATAATACCTGCAAATTTTACTCTTACTATTGTTGCTTTAGATTGGAATTTAGATCTTCAAAAGTTTCTCTGAAAATACACATCTACCCAGTATTAGTAATGACTGAAACTTGAAGGCAGATACAGAGAGAAATCTATCAGCTTATTTTATTTTGGTCTTGCCATATGGTATACTGGATACCTTAGAAAATGGGACAACATATTACAAGGCTACTGTAATCAAAAGAGCATGGAAATGGTACCAAAACAGAGACATAGACCAATGGAACAGAACAGAGGCTCAGAGGCAACACCATACAACTACAACCATCCGATCTTTGACAACCCTGACAAAAACAAGCAATGTGGAAAGGATTCCCTATTTAATAAATGGTGTTGGGAAAACTGGCTAGCCATATGCAGAAAGCTGAAGCTGGATCCCTTCCTTACACCTTATACAAAAATTAACTCTAGATGGATTAAAGATTTAAACATGAGGCCTAACACCATAAAAACTCTAGAAGAAAACCTAGGCAAAACCATTCAGGACATAGGTATGGGCAAGGACTTCATGACTAAAACACCAAAAGCAATATAAACAAAAGCCAAAATAGACAAATGGGATCGAATTAAACTTAAGAGCTTTTGCATAGCAAAAGAAACTATCAATAGAGTGAACTGGCAACCAACAGAATGGAAAATAACTTTTGCAATCTACCCATTTGACAAAGGACTAATATCCAGAATCTAAGAAGAACTTAAACAAATTTACAAGAAAAAAAAAAACCCTATCAAAAAGTGGGTGAAGGATATGAACAGACACTTTTCAAAAGACGACATTTATGCAGCTAACAAATATATGAAGAAAAGCTCATCATCATTGGTCATTAGAGAAATGCAAATCAAAACCACAATGAGATACCATCTCATGCCAGTTAGAATAGTGATCATTAAAAAATCAGGAGACAACAGATGCTGGAGAGGATGTGGAGAAATAGGAATGCTTTTACACTATTGGGGGTAGTGTTAATTAATTCAACCATTGTGGAAGACAGTGTAGTGATTCCTCAAGGATCTAGAAATAGAAATATCATTTGACCCAACAATCCCATTACTCAGTATACACCCAAAGGATTACAAATCATTCTATTATAAAGACACATGCATGTTTTGTGGCACTGTTTACAATAGCATAGACTTGGAACCAACCCAAATGCCCATCAATGATAGACTGGGTAAACAAAATGTGGCACATATACACCATGGAATACTATGTAGCCAGAAAAAAATGATGAGTTCATGTCCTTTGCAGGGACGTGGATGAAATTGGAAATTATCATTCTCATCAAACTTACAGAAGAACAGAAAATCAAATGCCACATGTTCTCCATCATAAGTAGGTGCTGAACAATGGGAACACATGGACACAGGAAGGGGCTTAGGGAGTGGGGTGCTAGGGGAGGAATAGCAGTCACCACCTACTATGAACAGGATGGGGATTAGGGGAAAGAGAAGGGAGTCTATAGTAGAAAAGAGGTTCTCTTTTATGAGCATCTAATTTTAGATTGAAAAATCCTCCCAATTTTAAGGTCCTTTCATCCATATATATTACTCCATATAGCGAAAAAAAAAGGTATTTCCCAGTCATTAGACTGATGATACTACTGCAGTGGAGAAAGTTGTATCCAACAATGCAGTCCACACAAATTGAAACAAAATGGCCCTGTGAGAACTGCTAATTCAATACTTAAAAAAACTGTATAACTTTAGAAGTGTATGGAACTTATTTAATAAATGTTCAAGTAATATTTCTTGACAGTCAAGATAACTATTTAAGTGCCAAATTTACAACCACAAATCTGTCTAAATACCATAACTTTAGAGTGAGATACTTTGCCAATCTATAACGCAAGTAAGGTAAACAGACATACACACATCCAGGCATGCTTTTTAAGGAGTTCCTTCTTAGGTTGTATACATTTGTCTTTATAAGTGTGTATAGCTGAGTCGTACAGTATTGACATCTTTAAGTTTACTTTTTTCTTTCCTTGATACTGCTTTTCTTATGATAATTTCATTCCGTCAAAAACTAATATGTTCCAAATAGCACAACTAAATTACTTAGATTTTATTGATTATTTAACTTGAATATGGGAGAGGATTTCTGTCACTCTTTACATAGAGATCAAATTAATAAAGTCCTAATTAAATCTATATATTAAAAGAGACTCAAGAGACATATTGGCTGGGAGCAGTGGCTCACACCTGTAATCCCAGTGCTTTGGGAGGCTGAGGTGGGCAGATTACCTGAGGTCAGGAGTACGACACCAGCCTGACCAACATGGAGAAACTCCATTCTACTAAAAATACAAAATTAGCTGGGCATGGTGGCACATGCCTGTAATCACAGCTACTTGGGAAACTGAGGCAAGAGAATTGTTTGAACCCAGGAGACGGAGGTTGTGGTGAGCTGAGATCACGCCACTGCACTACAAACTGGGCAACAAGAGCAAAACTTTGTCAAAAAAAAAAGAAAAACTCTATCAACTAATTGCAATAGATGAGTCATAACTGGATCTTATTTAAACAATCTCTAAATATAGTGATGACATAAGAAAATTGGGTTCTGACTAGATTTTATTTTTTCTTGATGTACTCTTTCAAAACTGTACCTCTTAGGAAAAAATACTATAGTATTTATGAAAGAAATTATATAATATCTGGCATTTGCTTTGAAATAATACACAAATGAGGGAAATAGGGATAGGAATAAAACATGAGCAATAACAATAATTATTAAAACTAGGATGTAAACATATACAGTCATTCATTATACAATGATCTCTATTGTATATATGTCTGATAATTTTTATATTTTAAAAATAAAATCCAACCTCATTTAGACATTTGACTCTCAAAGTCTTCAATCACCAACCATCAAATTTTCTCATTTCACTGCATTTTTTGCAAACTTCTGTATTTTCCCAAATAATTCATCTCTTACCTCACACTTATAATCCTCAAACAGAAAAAAGCCTTGCAGCTAACCAGCCCAAGCCTGAAAAGAGTACATTGAAGATTATTATTAATAATTATACTTAGAGCCTATTCCTTGATATCTTGCTTCTCACATTAAAACGTCTGTTTAATCCGCTAGCCTATGTGTGGTTCTCCTTGTATATGATTACACCAGAATATTTTAATCAAATAAAATGTGCTAACAAAAATTTTATTATAAAAACAGCATCAAAGTTATTGTGTATGTGTATGCATGCACATACTCACAGGTATGTGTGCATATATGCATCTGTATATCTTTGATCAAGTGGCACAAAAGCTTAAATAAGAATTGAAAAAATGAATACTTTTGAGAGCTTCTGAATAAAATAATTCAACATGGAGTAAAGTTAAGAAATTAGGACAATGCTATGAAGTATAGACTTTATTTGGATTTATCTTTTGTAACCTAAACTAATTTTATCATCTGCCTCTATCCTCGTTCACTGTTTATGGTTTATATACGGAAGACTGACTAACAGAAGAAAATGTTATCAAATATGGGAAATAAGTGGCTATTTCTGACTCCCACAGATCTTTAGTCATGGTTCCAGATTAAGGCTTCTGGCAATCTTGCATATCCTTTAATACTGGGAACATGAAAGGATTATTATTCTAATAGATACCATAGACACACTATTTGAAAGATACTTATAATCCTTTTCTTCCTTACCTTCTTCTATTGAGAAGCATTGAAACTACTAAAATACATGGTTTCTTAATCTGTACTGCAGTGAAGAGTGGCTACGTGACCAAGTTCTTACCAATAATATGTGAATGAAATTAACTGTGGATGTCTTCTCTTTCCAAATTGAAAATGTAAACTCTCACATGAAGACAGTTTTGTATTCTACCTTCTTCCTGCCTGGAATGCAAACATGAGCTCTGGATATGCAGCAGTCATCTTGTAAATAAAGTTCAAATCACATGCTAAAAACAGTAAAAAAGAAAAAGAGTGTAGATCCATAACACATTGCTGAAGAGTCGTTTTAGCCCTAGCTACCCGACTCCGGGTGAGTTTTATACAAGAAAATAAAAACACTATAGATTTAAGCAACTGTTAGTACTGCTTTCTGGGTCTGTTTTTGTTTTGGGGTTCATAATTTGGGGTTTTGGTGGGAGGGGAAGGGAAACATATTCCTAACTTATACACTACTATTCCTGGGAGCAAAATAGGTGGCAGAAGTTCATAAGACCTGACCAGCATAAATACATATAAGAATCTCAGCGGACTTCTGATACTGACAAAGATAAAGTAACAGGAACTGAATTTACCCTTCCACTGAAACAACTGGAAAAAAAAAAAGGAACCCAGATACTTATAATCTAAGAAATACCGCTTTTCAGACACTGAACACCGTTGATGCAGGACAATGATCTCTGAGAGATGGAAAAAATATGAGATTAGCCCCAGTGATTGCCCAAGATCACTTTCTGGAGAAAGTTTCTAAGCTTCAGCAAAGGAAAGAGAATCCAGAAGGATCCTGAAGGCATCCTTGAGTTGGTGAGATGGAGCTGAAAGACTGGGAATGGCAAAGTGAATAGAGTTTAATTGGAAGAATCCTGGACAGGAGAGAGGTGCATACAGAGAGAACTCTGAAGATCTCTAGAGTATTCCCCTCCAATCTTCTGTTGAGTACCTACTAGGGTATGAGGAAAACTGAAGCGGGGAAACAAACCATGCAAAAACAATAGAAGCAATAATCTATTATTCACACAGGTTTAGAAATAACCCATATTTTCAGCCAACCAGAGTGGAAAGTTTTATAATTCATGGAATATCAGATAAACTCAGAAGAATATATCAAATTATCCTTATATTAAGATTGTCTGGTCCCTACATTTTACAAAATTTACAAGTAAGCTTTGAAAGGATCAAATTGTTTCAAAATATCAAATGAATCACAGAACAAAGCTCAAGAGTATCTAACACCCAACACAATAAAATTCACAATATCTGCTATCTAATGGAGAGAAAGCATTCAAAAAAGCAGAAAATACAATCAATAATCATAAGAAAAAACAGAAGCATATTAAGAAATGATTCAGATGATAGAATTAATAGACAAGAACATCAAAATAGTCTTTATAACTCTATTACAGATGCTAAAGAAGCTAGAGGAAAATTTGATCCAATTAGATAGAGACACAAAAGGTATATATAAAAAGGGACCCAGATAAAACTTCTAGAAATGAAAACAAGTGTGTGAAATAAAAAATGCAGGCTGGGCACAGTGGCATTCCAGAACTTTGGGAGGCTGAGGCAGGTGGATCACTTGAGGTCAAGAGTTTGAGATCAACCTGGCCAATGTGGTGAAACCCCACATCTATTAAAATATAAAAATTAGCCAGGCATGGTGGTGGGCACCTGTAATCCCAGCTATTTGGAAGGCTAAAGCAGGAGAATCACTTGAACCCAGGAAACATAGGCTGCAGTGAGCCCAGATGGTGCCACCATGCTCCAGCCTGGGTGGCAGAGGGAGACTCCATCTCAGGGAAAAAAAAAAATGCACCAGATGGTATTTCAGTTTAGACAAGGCTGAAAGAAATATTGGAGATAAAGCAATAGGAAGTATCCAAAATAAAAAAAAAGAATAGAAAAGAGATTAAAACTTAATAGAGCATCAGCAAGTTATGTCAGCTTCAAGTGGCCTAATATATGTATTATTGGAGTCCCTGATGAAGTGAAGCAGAAGAGAGATGAAGAGATGAAAACAATATTGGAAACATACTAGCTAAAATATTTCCAATTTTGATGTTAAAAATTATAATGTAATATATTCAAGCAACTTAGTGAACTTCAAGCAAAAGAAACATGAAGAAAATTACACCAAGCTGCAACATAACCAAATAGCTTAAAATAAATGATAAAAAAGAACTTTAAAAATAGCTATAAGTAAAACTACACATTACATAGAGGACACTTTCTCTTAAAATTAGCCCTATATTAAGATTGTCTGGTTTCAACATTTTACAAAGCTTACAAGCATTTTCTTAAAATCAGAAATCATACTATTGAGACCTCAATAAGCAGAAAGTTGCTGGAATGATGTGGTCTCATTAGGCTGTTTTTGGTATAATTATGTATTTTCCCTGCATTATTCACTTAATCTATACAACTAACTTACAGATGATGTAACTAAGGCTCAGATGGATTAAATAACCTTATCAGTTAAAAAAAAACTATAATATTACTGGATATATTTACCTCCTCTTTTAGTAAGTAAAAATTGTGGAAATGAGCACTAGGCTTATCTTTCTAAAATTCTGTACTCATTCCTGTGTACCATAGAAGCAGGTGAAGAATTACATATATGAATACTAAGGCCAACAATGAAAATTACATTTTGTTTTTTAATCCTAGATCCACATTATGTCTTTTGATTTACTTCTTTTCTAGCAAATATTCCTAACATATTTGAATACTATTTATATTAAAATTTACTATTTTAAATTTTGTCTAATATTTTGCTATCACTTTTTGATTTAAATGTTTTTGAACAGTTTTACCTAACAAATTATTTTTATAGAACTGACTGATCATTTCTAGGATTCTAAAAGTCTCTGACTGTAACATGAGAATATTCACATCTGTGGCACATCTAGAGGCCACTGAAACTACCAAAGGCATGAAAAGTGTGTTTTTAATCCTATAAAAGTAAGCAAAACACAACAGGAGCATGTTTCTTTTTTTAAAAGGGAAAAAAAGATTTCAAAATGTAAGAGAATCATTTAGAGGCAATAAAATTGTACTTTAATCCTTAAAAATATGATACTAATAACTTTTTCTTCTAAGATTATTTACTTGGGCAATTATGAGAACCAACTCATTCATTATGAGAAGTTGAGATAATAAAAGTATCCTGCTTTGAATTATTTAGTTGCCACAAAGAGTGAGTTCTTTGGTCAAAAAAAAAAAAATGATATCTTATTTCTTATAGGTCCAAGAGCTGACAGTTAAAGTCTAGTCCTAAAAGTTCTGCCCAAGGTATAAAGATCTCCAAAAGGCAAAAGGCCCCAATTACCATGAGGCCAAAACTATTTATACCTCAACAGCTACTGATATTCTAGAAATTAAAATTTAAAAAATAAATCTTGGTAAATCAAATTTAAAAATCAATAAAATGCTATTATTTACTCACAATACTTATGCCAAAGAAGTAAAAAATTAATTAGAGGATCTGCAGTCTTCTACTTGGAGAAGAAGACAGGTTTTTCTGAATGCTATGAAGAGGACTCATCTCTACTTTCAAGGACTAACTCAAGTTCTATCATCATGCTTTGCAGACAGAATTCACAACTGTTTCATGCTCTTTGTTTACTCCTCTTAAATAAATAATCACTCTCCTGTCTCATTTTTCCATCTGTTGTACCAGTGAACTGGCTTCTCCCCTAGAATGTAAGTTCCTTGAGATTAGAACATGGTTCTCTTATTATGATTTGTCCAGGAATCCCTATCATGGGCTCTTGCCTACTAAGTAGTCAGTAAATGTGTGCTGAATTCAGCTAAAGTGAATTTTACTGGAAATTATTCTGTTGTTTTATTTACAACAAATAGAAAAGCAAAGAGAAAAAAGTAACAAAATAATAATAACAGGAGAGAAAAGAGAGGCCAGGGAATAGGAGAGGAGAGAAGAAAAGAAGACAGGAGAGACAGGAGGAGAGGGAAGAAGTAAAGGAAGGAGGAAGGAAACGGAAAGATAGGAAATTGGGGCTACTAGTATCTAGGGCATAACTACTTTTTCTTTTTCTTTCTTTCTTTCTTTTTTTTTTTTTTTTGAGATGGAGTCTCTCTCCATCGCCAGGCCAGAGTGCAGTGGCACAATCTCAGCTTACTGCAACCACTTCCCCCCAAGTTCAAGTGACTCTCCTGCCTCAGCCTCCTGAGTAGCTGGGACTACAGGCGCACACCACCATGCCCAGCTAATTTTTGTGTCCTTAGTAGAGACAGAGTTTTACCATGTTGGCCAGGATGGTTTCAATCTCCTGAACTTGTGATCCACCCACTTTGGCCTCCCAAAGTGCTGGGACCACAGGCATGAGCCACCTCGCCTGGCCAGGCATAATTACTTCTATATGACATTGCCAACTGATATTTCTTTCCCTTTATATATTAAAGAGATTAGGCTTGTCTCATGAAACTGATAAATCAAACAAGACTGAGCCTAATTTCACTTTTAATATATTTCATAAAAATCTAACACTTCATTTGAAGAACAAAAAGGATAAATCTTAAAGTTTAAATTAATTATATAGTCTACATTAAAATTATCTACAATAAAACTGTTAAAACCCAGCTGGGTGCAGTAGTTCACGCCTATGTTCCCAGCACTTTGGGAGGCTGAGGTGGGCAGATCCCCTGAGGTCAGGAGTTCAAAACTAGCCTGACCAATATAGTGAAACCCTGTCTCTACTAAAAATACAAAATTAGCCAGGCATGGTGGCAGGTGCCTGTAGTCCCAGCTACTCGGGATGGAGGCTGAGACAGGACAATATATTGAACTGGGAGGCAGAAGTTGCAGTGAGCCGAGACAGAGCCACTGCACTCCAGCCTGGGTGACAGAGCAATACTCTGTCTCAAAGTACAAAAAAAAAAAAAAAAGATTAAAACCATAAAATTTAAATTTTTATAATGCTTCTGTATTATTTCTATGTATCTATTCTTCTACAGGTTTATATTTTTACCTTTACTGCCTTATTAATATTCTTGTCTAATAACATCACATGGGAACATAGTAGGCCTGGGATTGGGTAGCTTCATTTGACAAGTTATTTTGAAAGGGGATGGCTACCACATACCCAGTGAAACACTCTAATTCCTTAGCAGGCTAGATTTAGGCTCCCTCACAAATATCTAGAAAAATACTTAATTAGTTGGCACATCCCATACTATTCACTTTGAGAATTAGTGTTTAAGATCCTCCTAGAGTCTCAGAGGAATCAAACCCATATTGTGTTAGCCTCATGTAAGGAGAAAAGGAAGAAATAATGGGAAGAGGCAACAAGCAGGCCCCTGCAAAATGGAATAAAATGACAGCAAATCAGCTGTTGTGAAGATTTGGGGATTTTAAAACTATCTGCAATATTGGTTTCAGTGAGTGAATTTGCTTTGTCTGAAAGGATTTTAGCAAAAAGTGGTGTTTTGATTGCAGCAATGAATAAATTACAAAGTCAATATAAATCAATTATCTCTTAACTTCTCTAATCTCTATGAAATCAAGGAAATCTTTACATACAGATATACAGAAAAATTATCTGTCGCCATTCACAAAAACATTAAGAAAGTGGTTGTAACAATTACCTAAATGGCTTTCTTTATTTTATTTTTTTTAATTGTACTTTAGGTTTTGGGGTACATGTGCAGATCATGCAGAATTGTTGCATAGGTACACACACAGCAATGTGGTTTGCTGCCTCCATCCCCCATCACCTACATCTGGCATTTCTCCCCATGTTATCCCTCCCTGACCTCCCCACCCTCCCCCCACTGTCCCTCACTTGCCCCCCGCAACAGACCCCAGTGTGTGATGCTCCCCTCCCTGTGTCCCTGTGTTCTCATTGTTCAACACCAGCCTATGAATGAGAACATGTGGTGTTTGATTTTCTGTTCTTGTGTCAGTTTGCTGAGAATGATGGTTGCCAGATTCATCCACGTCCCTACAAAGGACACGAACTCATCGTTTCTTATGGCTGCATAGTATTCCATGTGCCACAAATGGCTTTCTTATTATTGATTCGGCTATATATTGTTCTTTAAGATTCTAGGAGCCCATAATTTCTAACATCTTTTTGTCCCTATGTTAAGAATTTCAGGCTGCCTCTAATCACCCCAGTACCTCCCTGACTCACCAATCTTGGCCTATTCTTCAGTGAGTGAGTCATGATAATGGGGAAGAGCTCCTTACCCAACCACAATGAACACTCTTCAGTTAACTGCTATTTACTGATCCACTATGAATAGGCAAGGATCTAGGTTAGTGCTTTTCAAGTTAGTGAACATAAGAATCAACAGGGGTACACATTTAAAATACAGATTGCTGCCCCCTCATTCTAATTTATTGGATCTAAGTGGAGCCTGGACATTCACATTTTAAATAAGGATACCAAGTAAATCCCATGATAAGTCAATTGCAGACAAAACTCTGAAAGTGATGCTGACTTGGGAAGGAGAAAATGTTGAGGACCTCTTTGATACAGCGCAAAATATCTATGAAAAGAATGATGAATTCAAAGGTTTAGTTGGAAGCACTTGACCTTTGAATCTGGAATAAGCTTCGCTAATGAAGTTAAGATAGCCAAAAAAGCAGCAGCAGATGAAAATTGTCATGAGCTCTCCTTCTCAACCCCTTTGACATTTAGCCCTATAGACTAGCAGTGCCCTCTTCCCATTCTCTATCATCCTCCATATTCACACAGAGACTGGATATATATTGAAGATTTAGAGTTGGAGATTTAGATTTAGAGTTGGAGATCAGATTTCATTTTATGCTAGAAAAGTTGAAAACATTATGGAAAATTGGTCTAGATTTTTAAAAAACTTGAAAATAAAAAGAAAGCATGGACACAGAGAAAAAGCCTGAGACAGGAGTGAGGGGCCAAGATCCTGAACATGCCAGTGACGAATTAATGGAGAGGGAGGTAGAGAGGGCTTTGCTTTCCTGCCGTCAGTTGGACATTCCATCCAACTGCCCCTGAAGTGCATTCCAGTCCACTGAGCATGCTCAGTTCATGTGACTGACTTTCACCAAGTATAACAATCAACGAGATCACCATAAATGCTTTCCCAACATCAGACCAGTGAAGTGACCGCTGAAAACCATTCCTGAATTTGTGGTCAATGGACCCAAGTTTAAGGAGAGGAATGCCTTCAGTCTACAACAATGGTTTGAGTCCCAGTCTCTAATTACTTCTTTCCCAAGTACTCTGGTCACCAAAGGGACAATATTTGGTGAGATGCAGCCATTTTGTTGGTTAGCAGGAGCTCAGACTCGAGAAAATGCCATAGTGGTAGAATACAGCATCAACCTTGACATCAAGCCCATCGCTGGAAGCTCCCAGATCATTGTGCCAGTCAAGCGGAGGAGGGACTTTCATTTAGAGAGGCTTATGTGAACCTTATATGAGAAACTTGTCAACCTGCCTCTTTGATTTTTTTAGGCTTACTATTTCTAATACTTAGGTGCTATCTTTTAGAGACCCTGAAACAGCTAAGACATGACACTCAGTACAAAGGAATCCATAGGTAAGCATCATCAGATCCTTAGGAGTCAAGGCTCTGCCCTGTGTTTTGTGTCTATGGAATTATAAGCATATATGATGGCTGGGGGTGGTATGTCATAGTGGGAGGTCTGTGTACCTCAAAGGATTTATGAAATGGTATGCTAAATACATAATACAATCATGCTGACTGTGAAGGACCAATACAAACTAGAAGCCTAGGAGACGGTTGTGCTGTACAATGTATAGTCTACCTGAGGAGAAAGTGGCTACATAGCAAAGAAAGGCCATTTGTTATTTAATTCTAAATACTACAAAAGTCTTTTGGAAGTATTTTCCCCAATTTCCAGGTATGGCTGCCTTTCTGCTTTGCCACAAAGATTGCTCTAAAGGAGTATGTCGTTTGGCTTGGAAGTTCATGAGAAATCTTCATCTCCACAAGCGTTTCTCTTACCAACTTGCCACGTAGCTTGAAATTGCTCAATTCCTTTGACTCAGTTTTTTTTCCTGTTTTCTAGAGTGCATTATTCAAAAACATATATTCCTAGAAAATGCAAATCAAACACATTTAGGTCATTATCAGAAAACAGGAGCCCTTCATAAGGATGGAACCAAAAGAGGGAGTTGGCAGGCACAGGAGAATAGATGGAGTTGAAGAGAGTGTGGAAAAAGGGGATGGGAGAGGTACTGAGGGGAAGAGGAGTGAAACACAAACAGCTATATTGCACCCTTGCCTTCTAATGCTCAAGTCAGAAGTGAGAAATTCAGCTCATTGACTCGTAGAGCTAAACCCCGCAAGAGAGAATTTCTAAGGCAATGCCCATTTGCCTTGAGGGATAAATAGAAATCCAGCATCTTTTATCTTCCCTTTCACATTTAACTCAGATTTCAAAAAAAAATAATAACTGAGCATCTGCTATTTTCAATTGTGTCATGGATATGAACAAAACATTTCCTGCCATGAAAGAGCTAGCTGTCAATGGAGAGAGAGAAAGAGATAGAGGACAGATGAATGAATGAACTTTCTGTGTCGATCATAAAATAATTAACAGGAGGGCATTTCAGCACACATTTTAATTCTTATTTTTCTATACATTTTAGAGATGTTTCGGGATATTAATCTCACTCTTGGCATGCTAATGGAAGATAATGTTAACAAGGTAAGGAAAATAGAGAAAAATCTCTTTCCCTTTTTCAGCCCTGTTGTTGCAACATTTTGTATATATTTTCTTCATCTCAACTTTCTCGTTTTTCTCTCACTTGTTATATGGCACTAAATTTTTCAGTAAATGTAGTTGTAATGATTGTCATTGTCATGTATGTCATTGTCATGTTTAAACAATGATATTTAGCATTTCAAGAATCACAGCATCTATGTCTAGAAAACAGCAATTAAAACTTTATACCAGTAGACGTTGAAAGGTGTATGTCAGACAAACGTGGATGAGAGTGTTTTCCTTTATAATTTGAGGATTGTTACAAACATCGCAAAAGCTCTCCCCTGCTTGTCTATAATGCTATTTCACAGCTATAAGTTTATCTAAGAATTGAAGGCTTTTCACACTTCAACCACCTTTTATAAAATAAAAGAAATAACTGCCCTTCATTGAACACTTACCTAGGAAGTAGAATGCTAGATATTTTCCAAACAACAGTTTATTGTATAATATTCACTCCTCAGAACAATTCTATCAGGTAGGTATTGCTATTTCCACTTGATAACTGAGAAAAAATTAAGCACACAGAAACTACATGACTTGCCCAACTAAGAACAGCAGGACTACATCCAAAAGCAAGCCCATCTGACTCTAGAAAGTGCTCCTAATCATTATTCAGTGTTGTCTCCTTGCGAAGGGCAGTGCCTATACCTTTATCTCTTAATTCAGTGGTTCTGAACCCTGACTACATATTAGAATCCCTTAGAGAGTTTTGGGAAGATACCAACACCCAGGCCCTACTACCAGGGCCTGACTGAATCAGTCTGTGGAAAGCTTGAACATTTAAAGCTCATGGAAGTGATCCAAGCATTTAGGTATGCTTGAAAATCATTACATTAATCTTTCAGTAGGAGTCACCTTTCCCAAATAACACTATTCATTAAGCATTGGGGATCATTCGGAGAATAACTTCTGGATCTCAGAAGCACTGAAGGGGAATTTCCAGTAAGGGGATCAGGAAAAAAAAAAAAAATGTGTGTGTGTGTGTGTGTGTGTGTGTGTGTGTGTGTGTGTGCCTGTGCCTCCCAAAGTGCTGGGATTATGGGCGTGAGCCACCATGCCCAACCGAGAATACATATTTTTAACAAGCACTTCCTAATTATGTTATGGTGAGTCAAGTTAGAGAATAATAATAGCCAGCATAACCAAGAGGTTAAGGCACTAGCTAAAATTCAGACTATTGGTTTCAAAGTATAGCATCAGTATGTAACACTAACTACATTAAGCTCACTGGGACTCAATTTCCTCATCTATAAAATGAATATATTTGTGGTATCTAACACAGGGACTTGTGAGCATTAATAAAATCCTTCAGATAATGAATCTGGCACAGTTCCAGGAATGTGGTACAAGCTCCATAAATGTTAGCCTTGCCGGAAAACAAGGCCTGCAGACCGCAGAGAAAGCAAATGGAGCAAGAAAAGGACTCAGAGATAGTTAGGCAGGCCTGGAAAATACAGGGAAGAAAGCAAAGAAAAACTATGTGTTATTCTCAAATTTCCCAAAGACCAGCCCTGAGGAGGAATGCAAAGGATGCTATTTAATAACTTAAGCATGGGTGCAGTGGCTGGAGGTGCTTGTTGAAGCTGTTGAAGATTTCAGAAGACCAGTCTCTCTTTCATCTTTCAGAGGACATGTAGCCACCTAAAAGATTTACAAAAGCCCTCACACACGGCATCTAGTCAAGTCACACAACTGGAGGCCCTGTCTAAAAGGTTTTCCACAACTTTCTGTCTGCAGAGGCATAAATGAAACAAGGGCCTGTAAATTTCCCTAGGACCCAGTTTTATAGTTTAGCAGCCTCTTGGGGAGTTAAAAGTATGTTCCCTAGTACCACACTCACTCCCTGGTAGTAAGGGCAGCAATTAGGTTGACAGGCATTTCCATCCCCCTGAGTGCTTTTCAAAAAACATGACTACGTCAGGTAGCCTACCCTGGCCTTCAACTAGATCTTGACATAGAAATAAAGCCAAGTTAAAATAGTTTTTAGAATTAACTTTACTCTGTAGCCTTTGACTCCTAAAGGTGCATGTTATGTTCAAAAAGTCTCAGTTAAGTCCAGGCACAGTGGCTCATGCCTGTAATCCCAGCACTTTTGGAGGCCGAGGCAGGTAGATCACTTGAGGTCAGGAATTCAAGATCAGCCAGCCAAGAGATGGTAAAATCCATCTCTACTAAAAATATAAAATTTAGTCAGGCGTGGTGGCACACACCTGTAATCCCAGCCACTCAGGAGGCTAGGCAGAGGAATCACTTGAACCCAGGAGGTGGAGGTTTCAGTGAGCCCAGATCATGCCATGCACTCCAGCCTTGCGAGGCGAAAAAGAGCAAAACTACATCTCAAAAAAAAAAAGAGAGAGAGAAAGCCTTAATTAAGATATATAATATAAAATCCATTATGTACTAAAGATATATTGCTTACTTTAATGTTGTAATTCATTAGAACTTCATTTGATTCCTTTCTTTTTGCAACCCAAATTTCTGTGCATGCCTTTGTTTGTTCACAGGAAGACATCTACAGTCATCTCACTTCTGTTATCCAGAATACTGACATCCTGGATGATGCAATTGTCCATCAGTTGATTTATTATGCTTCTAAGGACATGAGAGACACCAATGTAAGTTTGGTTCATGATGGTGAATCAGCATCAGGGCCAGCAAAAGGGTCTTTAAGTGACCCAACTGCACCTATGTGTACATCAGTAAGCTTTTCTACACTGTTGCCAGGACCACAAATCACTTGCATTTTTCTTTGTGCTTTCCCAATTACTGACACTTACCAAGAGTCTCTCACCATGGTTTTGTAACAGCCTGGTCTCCCTTTGTCCCTACGCTAGAGGAACATAAATAGTATATCTGCAGATATTGTGAGGGACAAAGGGAGAACAGGACTGTTTCAGAACCACATCAAATGATTCTTGGTAGGTGTCAGTAGCTGGGAAAGAATTGGTAACTTGACTGCACTTAAAAAAACTGGTTTTAATAGGGTTCTTGCAGATTTGGGAGGTCAGTAGATGTTTTTCACAGACTCCAAAAGAAGAGAAGGTGGGAAGAATAGTGAGGGTTGAAAAATTACCCATCAGGTACAATGTTCACTGTTTGAGCCTCGGGTCCTCACCATTACACGATTGAATCAGGTGACCAATCTGCACATGTACCCTGAATCTACAATTTTAAAACTAAATTAATGCATACATAAATATTATGTTGACTAGTTTCCGTCTGTAGACTGACTCTGCTCTTTTTCTAGTTGTTATTGTTATTTTTCTTTTTCTCCTCAGATTCTCCGAGAAATCAGAATGCTAGCTGGTGAGGTTTTGGTGTCTCTTGCTGCACATGATTTCAACTCTGTGATGTATGAAGTACAAAATAACTTCAGGATCTTAGAGCTACCAAATGAATTCGTTGTGCTTGCCCTGGCTGAATTGACAATCAGCTATGGTATAGGAGAATATTATACACATTTTCCCCGGGAAATGACAACTCTTAATTTTTTAAAACCTAAATGGGAGCAAATGGTAGAAGAAGCTACCACTTACTGAGTGCCTATCACATCTCTACCTTCTTCTGTACCAAGAAATATTGATAGAGGGATGTGGGCAGCTGTTCAAAATGAGCATGGATGAATCTGCTGCCCAGCCACTAGCCCAGACTGCTCTGAATTTGGCCAGACTCTCTCCCATCCTCACCTTCTCCTTTATCCAGCTTTGTATTTGCAGAATCACATTTTCTATAAGGTGTACCCTACAAACCACCGAACATTTATGTGAAATAGGGATTTCTATCATTTATTTCTACACTACTTTATTTAATAGATATATAGGAACACCTGTTACATATGTTTACATCTACTTTAGGGACACAGGAAAGAACTAGTGAAAAAGATTGACATTAATAAATTAATTATCTAAATAAGCAATTGCCGGCAGCATCCATGGTATAGTGGTGAGCATAGCTGCCTTCCAAATAATTGCCACTTAACATCAGGTACAGGTGGCTGTGTAGCTAAAACCTTATTTTCAACCAGACCCTCCTTGATTATCTAGCTACAACCTGGTATTAAGGTGGGGTGTAGATGGGGGAATTACAGAAACATCTTTCTACTACACCTCATCTGCCTCCTCCACACAGCCCTGAAATGCTTCTTGTTGATTTGGAGTCATAGAACCCCAAATGTGAGAAGGTAAATAACACCTCTCTCCCCTCTGCCCCTCACTGCAGTGTCCCAGAGTATTCCTTTCATGATGATGACCCTGCTTGCCATGCAAACCATGCTCAGGATGGCTGAGGATGAAAGGATGAAGGGAACTTTCTGTATTGGTGAGTATTCCGATGATTTCCTCTTTGCTTAAAACCGGACAATGAACTGTCTTATAAATTGACCAAAAGTCTTGTTTCCTCTTTAAGTCCAATCTTATCCTTTGGAATAATAATAGCTACCAATTACTGAGCGCCTACCACATGGAAAGCCCTCAGCAGGGAATTATCTCACTCAATCCTCACAGCAATTCTGTGAGATAAGTGCTATTTGCCCATTGTATAGATGAGACACCAAGGTTCAAGAAAAGTAAGGAATTTTCCCAAAATGATGGCATGGTCGATGAGATACAGAGGTGGCATTCAAACCCAGGTCAATAGGACCACCCAGTCGACATCTTCACTGCCCTGCACAACTTCCATTTCAACTGACCTCCTTCCCTAATTGGACGACACTTTCTTGGCAATGGTTGTCAGTACTTACCAGCTCTCAGGGGAGGTTAAATTTTGGCATCTGATTATAATGTAATATTGTCATAATGACAAGTAACCAAAATACAAGCAATCACAAAATCAAGAAAAATAGGCAAGTGAACTATGGTCATAAACTCTTCTACCCCAAACTGAAATATGTCACAGATATCAAGAGTCCGCAGAGAAGAACATGGCCTGGGATTAGTAGGAAGCAGCATTTGCAGTGTACAGGGAGGTTTCTTGGATGAAACTGGAGACTTGGTCTCTTGTCTCCGCCAGCCACTGAGCCATCAGGCGACACTACCCTTCCCTCAGCCCTGGTCTCACATCTAAAATCATCAGAAGAAGTGATTGCTACATTCCTTTCCACTTAACACTACTATTTTGTAATTTAAAAGCCCACACTGTCAGGAATGTCTTCTTTACCAATCCACCAAGACTCTTCTATTCCATTTTTTCCCATTTCCTCTAGTTCTGAAATCAAAGTAATACCCTTATCTGATATATATTGAGAACTTGCTATGTGCCTAGACACTGCCCTGGATATTTTAAGATTACTATTCCATTTAACCCTCACAGCAACCACATTAGATGGGAAGCATTTTTTCCCACCATTTTACAAGTGAGAACATTGGGCTTAGAAAGTTTCAACACCTTGCCTCAGGTCACACAGCCAGTACATGGCAGAGCTAAGACTGTCAACTATGACAGTCTGACTGAGGAACCTGTGCAGCTATACCAGACTTAACCCAGTTTCAATACTTTTTACTATTCCTGCTTATTATCATAGCTAACACTGTTCCTGCAAATAAACTTTGGAGCTTCTAACAGAATTTCTCCTTTTAATATTAACAACCAAGAATGTAAACGTAAATAAAACTGGAAATACTCATGGACATTGCTAAGGGAATTCTCTGTGCTATAAAATTATCTAAGTGCCCTCTGGTTTTAAAGGAACTTTTTGCCTGACTGCCACTAAAGAAAAGATATCAAATTGAGTAGCTATCCAGCCAGCCAGCTATTCAGCCATCCAGCCATTCATCCATACCTAGTCATTTGATCCATCAGTAAATTAGCAGACATTGTGCTGGCTGCTTCACATATCATGTACCAGCAAGACATCATCCCTTTCTTCAGGTTACTTACAGGTCAGGTAGAAACACACACACACACACACACACACACACACACACACCAAGAAATAAATTATGATAAAATGTAGCAGGAGATTCTCAAGGAAATCATAAGGAGTTTGGAGAGACTGAATGAGCCAACAAATGGCCAGCTGTACACCTAACGTGCGCAGGGTCTTTTCCAGAGTATTTTGTGAATGTGAGGTGTCCCTGAAGAGTGGACTAGTGACTTTTCTTTATTATCTAACAAAATGAGTGCCACATGAGGGCTGAAGAAAAAAAATATTATTTTATGCATATCATGCAAATATATGTGGATTTGTGTTCCAAATGCTATTTTAGCAGGCCTAAGATTTCTTAATTTTATTAAAGTAAAACACAGACACATAAAATCATGCAAATCAGAAGTATACGTGTTGATGAGTTATTTCAAAGTGAACTTGTCCATGTGGCCACCACTTAGGTCAAGAAGTAGGAGATCAGGACCTGTCTATGGAATGTAATAGAATTCTACCTATTAGCAGATATTTAGCCTATATTCTGTTTTGGCTATTACCAAAACAAAAAGCACATACAAACATATTCTTGTATAAGTTTTTGGTGCTCATATGTACACATATCTAATGGCTATATACATAATACTGGAATAGTTAGGTCGAATGGAATGCATATTCAGCTTTGTTAGATAGTGTCAAGGCATTCTCCAAAGTACTTGCACCAATTCACACTTCTACCACCAGTATCTGAGAATACCAGCTGCATCTTTGTCTTGCTAACACTTGCCATTGACTGTCTTAAATTTTAGACATTCTGGGTAGCATGTAGTAGTATCTCATTATGCTTTTAATTTGCATTTCATTATTGTGGCTGAGCACTTTTTGTATGTGTATGTGATGCAGTCATAAGATCATATAGAAACTACTACATATTTACTAATCATCAGCACTCACTTCTCGAATTATTTTATAGTCTGTCCACCTTTATATTTTTCTCAGTCTGTGGTTGTGTGTTTTAAATGCAGCCCTTGAGAAATTTAGCAAAGCCATTTACAAGTATATCAACCACTGGAGAGATTTTCCCTATCCCAGATTGGATGCCAACCGACTGTCTGACAAGATCTTCATGCTGTTCCGGTATATAATGGAGAAGTGGGTCCCCTTGGCCTCACCCATGCAGGTGAGTGGGCCTCAGGATGCCTCAGACTGGATGTCCCTACATGCTCGTTAAAATTTCTCTTTTCTTTGTGACTTGATAATTAGGCTCAGTTTTTTTGGAAACCATTGGTTGTATTTTATGAGATTTATCAATTTTTTCTTTTTTTCCATCTATTTCAAATTACTACATATTTATTCTTTCAGTTAATGTTTATTGAATCCCCATGACATGGCAAACACTGTTCCATATGCTGAGGTTATAGCAGTAAATAAATAAACCAAAATCCCACACTCATGAAAGTGACATTTCCATATGTAGAAAGAACAATAAATAAGATAAAATGAGTTAAAAAAAAACAAAAACAGAAAGTTAGATAGTTCACATTTTATATATTAAAGCTCATATTTGAGCTGAGTCACTAATGAGGAAAAATAGCAGTCCACAGATGCTTACTGTGTTTATGAATATCATGATTAAATAAAATAACATCTAAAGAATATACTTGGCTGCTCAAAATACTGCAGTGCCTTGTCCTTGTAGAGAATAGGTTACAAAGTGCATTCACATGTATCTTGTTTTAAAAGTGTATTCCCTTTATCTTGCTTAATTACTATAGTTTTTTTAGGCAGGCTAAATGACATCCTATTTAGGTCTCTTCATTGATTTATTATAAAAGGTTGAACACTTGGCAACTCTCTCTAGTTTAGATTCTTTTCAACACTTGAAACTATTAAGGCACTTATTTTTTAACATCCTGGGGTAGTTAAATGTTAACAACATGGAACTTTAAAAACACCCTGTAGCAAAGTATTTTCTTCAAGGCACCTGGAAAACAAATTCAATCCAACTGTGTAATGACTACTCTCCTTGCTTCCCCCAGGAAGAGCCAGGCAAGTGAAAAGAAGGAACACAAAGTGATAAGGGGGCACAGAGGGAGAAGCACTTAACTGCCCTGGTGAGCTGCAGCATTGGAACTGATCCTTGCAGCCCATGAAGCTGCTCACCACAGGGAAGATGCATTCCCTACAGAGGGACTAAAACTTACTGAGGCAGAGGTTGAAAATAGGGTAGCATTAGGCCAGTCATGGTGGCTCATGCCTGTAATCCCAGCACTTTGGGAGTCCAAGGTGGGCAGATCACAAGGTCAGGAGATCAAGACCATCGTGGCCAACATGGTGAAACCCCATCTCTACTCAAAATACAAAAATTAGCTGGGTGTTGTGGCATGTACCTGTAATCCCAGCTACTCAGGAGGCTGAGGCACAAGAATCGCTTGAACCTAGGAGGCAGAGGTTGCAGTGAGCTGAGATAATGCCACTGCACTCCAGCCTGGTGACAGAGCAAGACAGACAGAAAAAAAGGAGGAAAGGAAAGGGAAAAGAAAGAGAAAGGAAGGAAGGAAAGAAGGAAGGAAGGAAGGAAGGAAGGAAGGAAGGAAGGAAGGAAGGAAGGAAGGAAGGAAGGGAGGGAGGGAGGGAGGGAGGGAGGGAAGGAAGGAAGGAAAGAAGGAACTCTTCACAAGAGTTCATTACTTGGAAATGCGTAGTGGAAGAACCACTCAACTAAAACATAGTCTTTAATGAAATAAATGATAGTTGCCATTAGTCACTAAGTTTTGAGATGATTTGTTGTAAAATTTAGTGGGTACAAAAAAATTATCAGACATTAGCTAGAAAAGGCAGAATACAGAACTCTGTAAGAATGAAGTCAGTTTTTAAGAAATTAAAATTCATAGAAAAAATAGGAAAAAGTCAAATAAATAAAACATATACTAAAATATACCAGTAAGTCAAATAAATAAAAAATATACTAAAATATACCAAACAGTGTTTACCGTGGGCACTATGGTACTATCTCTTCTTCATCATCAAAACATTTGTGATTTCTACTTTTTTATAATTAGAATTTATCACATTTATGTATTTCATACTCTGGAAGTTGTTGATTTTCCACACAGAATGGTAGCGAGATTATAGTGGATTGAGAGGTGAATGGGAGCTTAGAAGTAGAGATAGCAAATAAGGACCTTACCTCTGCCAGGCACGGTGGCTCACATCTGTAATCTCAGCACTTTGGGAGGCCGAAGCAGGCGGATCACGAGGTCAGGAGCTCAAGACCATCCTTGCCAACATGGTGAAACCCTTTCTCTACTAAAATAGAAAAAATTAGCTAGGCGCGGTGGTGTGCCCCTGCATTCCCAGCTACTCAGGAGGCTGAGGCAGGGTAATTGCTTGAACCCGAGAGGTGGACATTGCAGTGAGCCAAGATCACACCACTGCACTCCAGCCTGCGCTACAGAGACTCGATCTCAAAAAAGAAAAGAGAGAGAGAGACCATACCTTCAAAAAGCTTTGCTCCAAGGGGAGGAAAGAGAAACAGAATCAGGTGGGGGTAATAGTTGGGATCAAAGTGAGGTAGAATCAATGAAGATTCTTTAAGATGAGGTAAATTCGATATTGCTTAATATACTGAAAGAAAGCAACTGTTAGAAAGAGGTTTTAAAAAATAGAGTTCCATCTCAAAAAAATAAAATCAAATCTGGTATTACAAAATTTAGCCAGGCATGGTGGTGGGCGCCTGTAATCCCAGCTACTGGGGAGGCTGAGGCAGGAGAATTGCTTGAACCTGGGAGGCAGAGGTTGCAGTGAGCTGAGATCGTACCACTGCCCTCCAGCCTAGGCAACAGAATGAGACTCTGTTTCAAAAAACTACAATAAAATAAAAAGATAGGAGAGAAGGGCAAGTATTGAAATGGGTATCAGTATAAATGCTGATGTAAATACAAATACAGCTATGTCCCATGCAGTGATCTTTACCTGAATATTTTTTAAAGATTTTAAAGAATTTAAAGAACTATTTCTTGGCTAAAAGCAATGAGGCAAGTTTTGGGGCATACCTAAAGCTCTTGGTACTCTGAAAACCTATGAAAAGCATTAAGGAAGTTTCAGAAACGGTATTTGTTTGCTGCCTATACAGACTTTGAGCATCGTTAAGGCCCACGGGCCCACGGTGAGCCTGCTGCTGCATCGGGAAGACTTCTGCGAATATGCCCTGGGCCAGGTGCCCTGGCTCCTGAATCAATATAAAGACAAAGAGATTGATTTCCATGTCACTCAGGTAAGAGCCATACCCTAAAGGAACTGAATCAGAGAACCCATATGCAACACACCCAGAGGCTATTAAGTCTCAAAGGATCCTAAGGAGCTTAATTCCTTTTTGGGCAGCTGAATTTAAATCTCTCTCGAGGAATGTGAGTTAAGTAAAAGATTGTATCACTGGATGAGGGGAACTTCAGAGAGAGATTAAGAATGTTCATTCTAGGTCTGGCTCACTGGCTTATGACTGAAATCCCATCTCTACTAAAAATGCAAAAATTAGCTGGGTGCGTGATGGCATGTGCTCATATTCCCAGCTACCCAGGAGGCTGAGGCAGGAGAATCATTCAAACCCGGGAGATGGAGGTTGCAGTGAGCCAGGACGATGCCATTGCACTCCAGCCTGGGCTATGGAACGAGACTCCATCTCAAAAAAAAAAAATTTTTTTTTTAATCAAAAGTATGTTCATTCCAAGTTGCTAAGGCACTGAACACGGTGGAAGGGGCCAGAATCATTCAAAAAAACTTGTAACTGCAGGAAGGTAAGGAGCTTGTTTTACCTTTCAAAACACAATTGTTTGCCTTCCACATCCTGTGCGGCTGCTTCACTGGCAACCTCCAACTAACATGTGGGAGTTTCCACTTTAGAGCCTAAAACAAATACTGACTGCAGTGGTTCTTTATGACATTGGCCTTCCAAGGAGCTTAAGAAGATCCATCTTTATCAATTTACTCCAGCAGGTAAGAGCACCATGCTGTCAACTCCGATTTTTAATTTCAATCGGTTTTCCAATTTTCACATCTACCACTGATTTCCACCCCCATTCAGGTCTGCGGAGCTCCAGAGCCTCCAGTAAAGGAAAATGAAATGGAAGCTTCAAGCTGTTTTCTCATTCTAGGTAGGATCATCATCCAGAAGGCTTTTAACAAAAATGTCCCCAAGTGATGATGATGACAATGGTAAAAGGTGGGCAAACATCACAATAACTACTTTCACACCCACAGTTTTTTTAACTCTAAAGTTTTTTGTGCCTGCCCCTCTCCCCACAAGTTCCTCCTAGTAACTTGGGTATTTTACCAGGCATATTTTACCAGGACAGGAAGAATGGCCAATCATGTCAGGGTGCCCCGGACTGGGATAGGTCCAGGGAGATAAAATTTTCAGTTCTCAAACCAGGGAAGTCCCAGGAAAACCGGGGTGAGTTGACAACCCTAAAAATAGGAAATTCCTTTTTTTTTTTTCTGGTATTTGAGATTATTTGAATCTGTATCACATCCAAAGTCACCCTTTTTTCTTCCTGGTCTTCTGTTAGTCTCTCTACCTCTCTTTAACCATCAGTCACTCCATCTCTCTCACCCTCCTTCACTCTGTTTTTCTTCTTGACTTTACATTACAACTCCATCCATCACCTGATTAGAAGGTCTGATGCAAGATGCATGCGAGGCACCAACATCCCGGGGTCAGAATACAAAACTATGCTCCCATATAGTCCCTGAGAAGGAGGGACAGCAGCAGTGCAATGCCTCCTGAACCCCTGCACTCCCCGAAACACATCACTTCTACCTCCTTGCTTACCTTTCTGTCATGGGTATGCACGCCTTTCTACTGCTCTCCTGACTAGACCCTCTGTCTCTATACTTTCCTCTTCTCCCTGACCCCTACCTAATTCACTTTACCCATGATATTTCCTTTTTCTTTTTTTCTTCCTTTTTTTTTTTTTTGAGATGGAGTCTTGCTGTTGCCAGGCTGGAATGCAGTGGCACGATCTCGGCACACTGCAACCTCCACCTCCCAGGTTCAAGCAATTCTCCTGCCTCAGCCTTCTGAGTAGCCAGACAGGTGCGCACCACCATGCCTAGCTAATTTTTTTGTATTTTAGTAGAGACAGGGTTTCACCATGTTGGCTAGGATGGTCTTAATCTCCTGACCTTATGATCCCCCCGCCTCATCTTCCCAAAGTGCTGGGATTACAGGCATGAGCCACCACACCCAGCCACCCCTGATACTTTCTAGAATAAACCACTGTCCTCCAGCCAGGCCTATTCTCACCCCTCTCTGCTTCAACCCCTGCAGCTCTCAGAGCTGGGGAAGCATCACTGCCATTTCTTCCTCCATCTTCACATGGTGTTACTGTGCCCTGGATCTCGTCTCCTTTTCCTATGAGGACACCAGTCATATTAAATTCAGGCCCACTCTAATGACCTTCTTAACTTCATTATATCTGCAAAGACCTTCATTTCTAAATAAGGCCACATTCACAGGTATGAACAGAAGTGGCCTAGGCATAGCAAGCTCTCTTAGGAACAAACCAAACTGGGGTGAGTTGACAACCCTAAAAATAGGAAATTTCTTTTTTAAAAAATCATTTAAAATAATTTGATTTTATTGTGTCCATGATTCTTTAGTATCATAGAATTTAGTATCTAAATTTAGGTTCTGTGATACTAAAGAATCATGGACACAATAAAATCAAATTACTAAGTGAAGAGTGCCTTGAATAATCTTCATGGTGAATTTCCCTCTTCCCATTCACAAGTACTTCACCTAGGATGAAAATGAGTTCTTACAACCGTAGTATTTCTTGAACCTGCAGCCCATTCCACTCCTGCAGAGCTGATGGAATTTTTTGATGAACAAATAAGAAGTAATAATGAAGCCATTCGAATGGGAATCTTGACTTTGTTAAGATCGGCTGTCAATGCTGAGGGTAAGCAAGAAAGTTGAAGCCAATGTGGTTTATTTCACGCCAAGAAGCAGACTAAAGTCTATGCACTCTCTAATACTATCCTACGTCTTTTGGATGCTTATGTAACATCATGTGCAAATGAAAGGCTGTCTTCTCGGTCTACAATCTACAGTCCCTTTCAACAGGCATTTTTAGTTACTTCTCTTCTTTCGTAATATGTATGGATACACCCAGTTGAGAATGAAAAGTAGAATTTTTGAGACTCAAAGTTATAAGTTAGAAGCTCTTTTAGGTTGATTAAATGGTCTAATAACAAGGGGTGGGTGGGAGAGAGTGTACAATTCTCTAGAGATTGATACATTTAGAAAAAAGCATAATTTAATGAATTGTCATATTTTATTAATTCCAGGAAGCACATATTTTCATAACATTGAGTGCATCTTACAATTGAATGCATCTTTAATTGTAATTAGCCACTATTTTTATGGTACAATATGAAATAATGATGCATCATAAGATTGGTGAATCTTAGATTTGCTAAAATACAAGAATTCATTTTTGCATAGTATAATATAGTTTCTTATCATTCAGTTAGCACTTTGCTTTACTGAAGAATCAGCAGATGAATATGAAGCAGTCTCACAATATTTAGATCTGATCCATCAGGGACGATACGGTGAATCCACTACGGAACCTAACATTTTAAACAGAATAAAACAAATGTAATAAGAAACAGAGCACTGGACATCATTAAAGATTTGGAAACAAAGAGGATGGGAAGGAATAAAAAAAAGTAACTTGTTAAAGACAAGAGACTTGGCAGTTGTCTGCCATAATCCTAATAGCTTTTCATCAACCCTAGAACATACTGTGCTTCTATTGAGCCAGGCCTCTCAATTTCTCCCTCTGTCTTTCAGAGCCCAGGTTGAGGAATCACATCATTTCAATAGAAAGAACAGTCAAAATCGTCATGGGTGATGCCAGTACAAAAGTAAGAGAGTTAATAGAAATTGTTATTTTGTCAATAGTAGTTTTAGGAATAAATGAAATGATTTTGATTCTTTAGCATCTGCTTATGAGACTATTTCATAAAGAGCTCTGTGATCAATTCCATTTTTAAAAGAATTCCATCTTTTCCAAAAAGATAAATTTATTAAAGTAGAGGCCTAAAGTACACACAGTTAAAGGACATCTCAGTGAAAAGAAGATTTTTCTCATTTAAAATAATTGTAGGAAATCAGTGAATTGACACCTGAGTAGACTAAGAGCAAAGAGACTTTATCTCACTATGCCAATACACTTCAGATAGTTTTAAATTGCTTGTTAATTATAAAGATAATGTATCCTCATCCAGAAAATAATAATCCCTAAACCTTGTTCTTAGCCTAGGCATCCTACTTTCCAACCAGGCACCACCTAGAGCAAGTTGTGCACATAATAGTTTGCTCAATATTTCTGATTATTTATTAAAATGTTCTAAGGAGCAGTGGCTCACACCCGTAATCCCAGCACTTTAGGAGGCACAGGCAGGTGGATCATTTGAGACCTGCCTGGTCAACCTGGTGAAACCAAATCTCTACTAAAAATACAAAAATTAGCCAGGTGTGGTAGCTCATGCCTGTAGTCCCAACTACTCAGGAGGCTGAGGCACAAGAATCACTTGAGCCTGGGAGGTGTAGGTTGCAGTGAACCCAGACTGCACCACTGCACTCCAGTCTGGATGACAGAGTTAGACTCTGTCTTTAAAAAAAAAAAGTGTTCTAGCCAGAAGTTGTAGAACTTATACTGGGGGAAAAAATCAAGAAATATTATCAATTATTATATTTTTTTAAATATCACATTTTACTTGGAATAAAATGCTGGACAGATGCCAATTAAGAGGAATAAATTTTTTTAAGAAGCTTTGATTGCCAGTGACTAAGTTTAAAGTAGCAAAAGCTTTGCAATAAAAGCAATAAAGTGATTATACAAAAACAATCTGGCTTGTAACTGACAAAGACAAAAGAATTACAAGAAGAGTTTGGGATAGAATAAAGATCTTTAAGGAAGGTCAACTCCCCAGGCAAAAACAGAGAAAAGGTGTATCTCTTCTCTAGGTAGACTACTCAGTGCCTTTATGCTAATTGTTTTGGCCGCCATGTAACTCGGCTTCCCTGTTCAAAATGGGTTTTTTTCTTCCCACTCTATTTTAAAAGACCTAATCACGAAGGGATTGGTTCTTAGATTTCTATTCTCCAGAGAAGCAACCTAATAAACAAATTAAAACCAAATTATTACATATATTATAATACAAGTTCCTAAAACTTCACTCTAATTTCTGGGGCCAGATATATTTCAGAACTGACAATTTTCTAGCTTTTAGAAAAACATTATTCTGACAGTAACCCACAATCAAAATCCATGACTATTTCTGCAAGAAAATGTATGCATATCCACACAACACAGATTAAGATTACAAATAGCTTTAAAACAATTCAGTTTGGGTTTTGCCACCAAATGAGTTGGCACTACATTTAAGAAACAAAATTCCAGTTTTCATAGTTGCTTGGACTTTGAAATTGTGAATAAACAGTTGTGGACCTGTAGTTCAAAATGCTATCTTTCATTGAGTATTTTAGAAGTGAAGCAGTGTTTTAGCCCAAAGTTACCTAACAATTCATAATACACAGTGATAGAAAATGTGTCTTTGGGAGTCAAGGAGAAAGATTTTGGCTAAAGAGAGCATTTCTGGTGACTCATAACCTATCAGTCACTTTCTGCTCCATCTATTTATACAGGTTGAGCATCCCTAACCCAAAGGAAATCTGATCTGCTTCAAAATTGAAAACTTTTTGAGCACCAACATGACACTCAAAGGAAATGCTCAAAGAAAATGCTCATTGTAGCATTTTGGAATTCAGATTTTCAGATTAGGAATGCTCAACCAGTAAGTATAATGTAAACATTTCACAATCTGAAAAAATCCAAAATTCGAACACTTCTATCCCAAGCAGTTTGGATAAGGATTACTCAACCTGTAATAATATTATTCAATTTATGCTCCTTTTTCGAAAACGTTCCCACTTAATTATCCTTGAGATTATAAAATAAAAGAAGGCAAATTTTCCTTCTGCAAAACATAGTAAAATGTTACTATTGCATTGTTCTTACTCTAGGTAAGAAATTCTGTTCTTCTCCTCATCCAAAGCATGTGTGAAAAGTCCTATATTGAAGCTCGGGAAGGATGGCCATTGATTGATTATGTCTTCTCCCAATTTGTGACGTCAAGCAGGAATCTGGTATGCAGAGGCTGCAGTTTACTGTAAAAAGTACAGTCCACTCAACTATGTTTCTTTTTTAAATGATTAGGGTCCTTAATCTGTCACAAGAGTACAGTAAAAAAAATGATTTTTTTAAAAATTAAAAATGACTGGAGTTCAATGAAATAACTTATTTTGAGATAATATTTTAGTCTTATCACTTTTATTGATAATTTTTACAGCCTCTAGTTTTCTCAGTTCTTTTTTTTGCTAAAATCACCTCTAACTTATAATAAATACAAGATAGGTTAAATCAGTTTTCCCTAAGTTAACCTCACCATAAAAGGCTTGGGTTGGGGTCGTCTGGAGAGGGGCAGAGACTGAATTGCTTCAGAGAAAGCAAAAGAGATCTCAATACTTGCTGCAACGATGTCTTACTTCATTCAGGCTTCTATAGCAAAATACTGTGGAGCAGTGAAGTAAATTCTATGGCATGCATTTCTAAAATAGCACACGTCTGAAATCATAAATAAATGTATTAGGGTTAGAACCCTAATACATTTTTTTAGGATTTCAGTATGCTTCTAAAATCCTTTAAAAACACTCACTATATATAAAGGAAAATAATATAAAATGGCGATTTGTAAACAGCAAGTATTCATTTCCCACAGTTCAAGATGTAGGGAAGTCCAAGATTGTCTAGTGAGTGCCTGCTTCCTAACAGATGGTGCCTCCTCACTGTGTCCTCACACGGTAGAAGGGACTAGCTAGCTCTCCAGAGTCTCCTATATAAGGACATGAATTCCAAACATAAGGGCCTGTCTCTTATGACCTAGTTACCTTCCAAGGACCACAGCTCCTAATACCGTCACCTTTGGGGGTTAGGATTTCAACATATGAATTTTGGGAAAACACAAACATTCAGACCACAGCAACTGAAGTCCCCTTTCTTTGGATAAATAGGCTGAAAAACATGTGCTTATGATCTCAGTGATTTTAGCAAATTAGTCACAACTGAAATCGCGGTTCGCTCCCCAAAGAAAAACATGCTTTGAAAAATTTGCCCTGAAGAATATCGCAAAGGCCTGGGAAAGGGAGGGGATATCTGCAGTCAAAGGAACCGCATGCTTTTTGTTTCTCTATTTTAGCAAGGGGTATGTTTTCCAACTAATTCCTCCAAAGGGTCCTTTCAAACAGGGATTAGATGTTGAAGGCCCAAGTTCCATGAGCCCCTTAAGTTGAGTGACTACATCCTCTACTCCAGAGTATAAGAACATACCCAAGGAATGTTAGAGGGAACCAACCTTAGGAGTCATTAACAAGTCATCTGTTTGATCTTTCTTAAAGGAGAAAGTAGTGAAAACTAACTTTCCTGAGAATGAAAAGGAAGAGGAATCTGTCCGAGAAACAAGCCTTGAGGTCTTAAAAAACCTGGACCCACTGGTCATTGGAATGCCTCAGGTAAGGGATCTTTTGTCACCACTTATAGTTACTTGGATCACCTTTTTAAAGCCCAGCATGTGTAGGAATAAAGACATGAGTTTGTGCTCCATGTGTCATCAGCTTTCTGATGCTCTGACTAGAGGAAGTGTATTGCAACACTGTGTTGAGCACATAGTGGTTCCTCAAAAACAGATGTTGAATTAACCAACATAAAGAATCTTACATCTAAATAGTTCATGACAATTTATATATATGTGTAATATTAATATATTATTTCTCTTCTTCCTCTAGTACATACAGAAATATTAAGTAATGAGTAGTGGTGTTTTTTGTTTGTTTGTTTTTTGTTTTCGAAATGGAGTCTAGCTCTGTCACCCAGGCTGGAGTGCAGTGGCATAATCTTGGCTCACTACAACCTCCGCCTCCTTGGTTCCAGTGATTCTCCTGCCTCAGTCTCCTGAGTAGCTGGGATTACAGGTGCCCACCACCACCCCCCGCTATTTTTTGAATTTTTAGTAGAGACGGGGTTTCCCTGTGTTGGCCAGGCTGGTCTCGAACTCCTGACCTCATGATCCACCCACCTCAGCCTCCCAAAGTGCTGAGATTACAAGCATGAGCCACCATGCCCAGCCATGAGTAGTGGTTTTAATGCAACCAACGCCAAACTTCCCCTATTCATCTGGGAAAGTGTTAAGAAAGGCCTCACCGTAGACCTGATTCAGTTGAAACTCAAAGGGAAGAACCTTGGAATCTGTAGTGCTCAGAAATACATGGCACAACCAGAAGACAACCAACAGACTATACCATTAAGTGGTAGCTCAGAGGCTTCATCTAGGATGATATGTGGTTCCTGAGTTATCTGGGATATTTGCTTAAAATGCAGATTTTTAGGTCACATACCAGACCTACTGAATCAGCAAAACTGGACATATAGACCAAAAGTCTACAATCAACTAAGTTCCAATATTTCTGATACATGCTAAAGTTGAAGACCTTCTAATATAGAAGTAAATGATGAAGAAATGATCTAGGATCAAACCCTAAAGGGCCTGGAATGCCAAACTTTTACCTTATGGTTGATAAACCAATAAAAATTTTAAGCAAGAGCTAAACATTTAAAATGATAAGTGTAAGGAATCAGTAGATTGACACATTAGTAGATAAAAGCAAAGAGACTATATAGGAGATCAGATGCAACTCATGGAATCTACAGCAATTTCATTACAATAGAAACAAGACATGGAAGGACACGACAAATCTTACAATGAGAAAAGACTGAGTCTGGTAATTAAATATAGATGACAAAGAAGAGAGAAGAGGACAAGTTGACACCAAGGTTTCCGTCAGGACAAGAGAGTTTTCTAAGGGACATAAAACATACTAAAGAAAGCACAATGTTTCAGACTTCCAGAGCAGGCAGGTTAGAGCCTGAAGCACAGAGGGCAGCAGCAGCCCATTCACCATCCTCTCTTAAGCTTCTCAGTTGGGGCAGTCACACTCCAGTTCTGGAGTATTGGGAAATGCTTGGGGGACTTTTTGTTATTGTCATATTGACAAGAGGAATACTGGCACTGGTGAGTGGGTTGCAGGGATGCTAGCCTTCCCCTAGTATCTGGAGCAGCCCCTCACGACAAAGAGTTGTCCTGCCCCATGTTCCAGCAACATCCCCATTGAGAAACACTGACCAACAGCCGCCACAGCTAACACCTGAACATGAATGTGCTGTGCAGAGGCATCATTTAATGATCTCACCTTGACTGGGCCTGAAAAGCTTCTAAATCAGAGAAAAACATGCAGTGAGGACCAGGGAGAAAAATAATAAAAATGGATAAGTAACCCTTGCATCTTGCCCTGTTTTCCACAGGTGCTGTGGCCAAAGATCCTGACTTTTGTGGTACCTGCGGAATTCACAGAAGCTCTGGACCACCTATTTAGTATCATCAGAATTCTAATTATGGCAGAGGAGAGGAAGAAGTACAGTGCCAAGGAGTCCACAGCACTTGTCATCTCTACAGGAGCTGGTCTGTACATTCATAAACTCAGCAAAGCTTTTCTATTATGAGGGATCCATTTCTAGGAAGGCTACAGTGCTTTGATCTTAAAGCTAACCCCAATCTCTAACCCCTACAGTGATGATAAATATTGTTCTCTCTTTCTAGTGAAACTTCCTTCACCACAGCAGCTACTAGCCAGACTTCTGGTGAGTGAGTTACAAAGAACCAAAATAGAACATATTTAAGCTGATAAGGATAATTCAGTTCCAGTAAATGCTAACATAAATTACATAGATACTCCAAACCAAAAGAAACACTAAAAAGGCAAAATAAATTTTTTCTGCTATATTAGTACATTCATGAATATTTATTATTGACACAATTACGTTCTCATTCTGAAATACTTGTTAAACTTTACTTATAATTTTAAAGCAAACATATATTGAATATCATTCATAAGTACCACCAAACAAATTCCACATCTATTGTTTGGATTTCCCATGTCTCTTTTTGGCCCCATATGAATCATTTACTTAAGCACTGTTTTCTGGTACCTTTAATTAATTAATTGATATATCTAAGTGTTCTTTCCATTTGTTTTTGGTTGGTGTGTTCCATGTATTTTTTTACCTTCATCCTCAGGGAAAAAGAAATAGGAGAAGATCTATCTAAGCATTAGCTTCATTCTAGAAACAATAAGAATAGACTGTGATTATTTGTTAAAAGATTATCCAATGCAGCAGTCAAAGGAATTGAAACAATGATAAAAAGGAAAAAATAAGTGGGCTTTTTAAATGCCCCTGAAATTGATGAGCATTTTCTCTTCTCTCCTTCAGGTAATATCTATGCTTGCTGGTTTAGGGGAGTTACGCGGGATTGGTGCTATAGGGCTTTTGAAGATACTGCCTGAGATAATTCATCCAAAATTGGTAGACCTATGGAAAACATGCTTACCTGAGTTTCTGCAGCCTCTGGAAGGTATGAGGGAGTGGGGCCAGGTTTTTTCCCAGGGAGGCAAGAACATGAAGAAATGATGCACCATTTCTCTGTGTAAAGCCGTTATTCCTCATTTTAGGCAATAAAAACAATGAGCTTGATATGGAAGGTAGATAGCTTTGTTTCGCTTCTTGACTCTATATTCTGTTTCTCTGCCAGTATTCATACTACAAGAACACCTAGTGGGTAACATTCTCAGCAGTAATTTTTACTTTTGCTCTGGTCTTTTTCTTATATCTAGAGAAATTTTATTTTAGTATTGTTCTAAAAAGTTATTTTATTTTTTTTTTGAGATAGAGTTTTGCTCTGTTGCCAGGCTCCAGGCTGGAGTGCAGTGGCACGATCTCGGCTCACTGCAACCTCCATCTCCCAGATTCAAGCAATTCTCCTGCCTCAGTCTCCCAAGTAGCTGGGACCACAGGTGCGTGCCACCACGCCCAGCTAATTTTTGTATTTTTTAGTAGAGACAGGGTTTCACCGTGATCTTGATCTCTTGACCTCGTGATCCACCCGCCTCAGCCTCCCAAAGTGCTGGGATTACAGGCGTGAGCCACCGTGCCCGGCCTAACAAGTTATTAATGTGTAATTCATGTTAGAATATCAAAGTATAGTTGTTTCAGTAGTCATTGAAATTAGCAAAAAGCCTAGATGTGTATAATGGATTGAAGACCTCTCTACCTCGCACTTTAAAGTTGCCAATGTAGTAAATTTGATCTCAAATAAGCATTCTGAGCAAAAGAAAGCTTAAAATAGAACTCCAGCCACTGAAGACCTGGCCGGGAAACATTTGAGTCTTGGAGTGTGGTTTTTTGTTTTGTTTTGTTTTTGCAATTAGTATATCAATTTTTGTTTCTAGGAAAGAACATCAGTATTGTTCTATGGGAAACCATGCTGCTTCAGGTAAGGGTTGCTTCTAGAATGGTTGTTATAATGGCATGATGAAATCTGCTAAAGTTACCCATCTTAAATTAAAGGAACTAGATTCCTGATGATAATAAACAACCTTTCCTTTTCTTGGGAAAAGAACTAGAATGTTAGAAGTGATCACTTAAGGATAATGTTCTTTAATCGCCATAATTTGAACAGTCTGAAATCCACTTGATTAAGTTTCAGACGGTTTTGAAGATTTATTCAGCCATATTTTTTCCTGTGTCTTTCTTAAATCTTCTCTAGTTTTCGAATTTTTACTTCTTGCAAATTTATTATTTTACCAGCTACATAATGAAACACAGATTAATGTAATTTCCACTTCTGTGCCCCTAAACACTATATTTCCTCTTCTATTTGTGGCTCGGTGTCTTTTTCCTAATGTCTAAAAAACAAAGGGCTGCATTGTATCGCTTTTCCAAAAAAGAATTTTGTGTCTCACCCGTAAACTTCTTGCAGCTTTACAACTAAACAGTGCCACAGGTGATACCAAATTCCAGAAACTGTAAATTGCAGACAGGTGGTGGACATTGGCTTTATAAAGATGTGACTTCAGAAACTTGCAGGAGAAGAGAAGCCCACAGACTTCTAATATAGCCCACAGACTCTTAATATAGAAGGTTTTCAGTTTATAAGGCACCTACCTAGGAATTACCTACGGCCTCTTAGAAGAGACAGTTTTCAATGATGTCTCCACAGCACCTCCTCCACCTCCTATCTCCATCCCTTCCAGATTCAGAATCTCTGGGGGTGGTACCTGAGAACTAGCATGTTTTAAATGTTCCCATCAGTGATTCTTATCCAATATGAGATTTGAAAGTGACTGCTCTGCTATCCTGGTCTTCAATTCTAGGATCCACCTCTCCTCCTTATATTTATGGTTCTTTTATGTTCCCTTCCCTCTCTCAAAATTCCTACCAGATTTCCTTTCACTATCATTTTAAAATAACTGTTTTTACTAGGAAGAAAAATATTTTTTTTCTAGTGGGAAGCCTTGACAACAGTTCCTTTTTCTCTTCCAATTCTGAATATATTTCTGGTCTTTTCCCAAAACTGTCTGCACATGTCTTCTTCTCTTAAATTTCCAAAACTGTTTAATTTCTTTAAAGAACCCATGAATGAGCTCCTATTAAGAACATGTATACAATTCTTTTCATTGGTTTTGCTTTGCATTGTGTCCTCTTCTAAGCTTAAAGTTGAAAATATATAGGAGAAACAATACATATATTGCAATGTGTTTGTCAAAAAGAAAAAGAACACCTTTCTATGTATTGTTCAATGAAGAATGATATGAGTTCAAATAATTGATTGTGACCCTGTCTCAGAGGTATTGAAAAAACCAGGAATCTTTAGTTATTCCAGTTGAAGTTTGCAGAAATATACCTGTTTATCGAAATGAGCCTGTTCTTTAAGACATTTAATTCTTTATTCCAAAAATCTCCATCCTGTTTGGGGTTTTTTAAAAGTATGTATTAAGTTAAATTAATATCAACAAATGGAGTTTTTCCAAATCTATCAAAACTAGAAAAATGCCAACTTTGAGTTTCAGATTGGATTAGTTTCTATTTTACGTCTTTTAGCAACATTTATTCAAAGGAAGAAAAGGAAGTCGCTTTTCCACATTCTGTGTATCTTATACTTAGTGCAAATTCACAACATATCAGAAAATGTTCTTTAGAATAAACTAAGAGGAAAAGTTTCAAAGGAATCAGTTATTTTATGGGAAAAGAAATAATACTACTTAAAATATATTTAAACTTTTAAAAGATAATAAAAAAATACCAAGAAAGCACATGAAACCATCATATTCATACCTAACTTCCACTTCTACAACAGTTGCTCAAAGAATCCTTATGGAAGATCAACGACACGGCCTGGACCGTTCAGCTGAGTCGGGATTTCAAACAGCAAATGGGCAGTTACAGCAACACCTCCATTGAGAAGGTTAGTTTTTCAGCAAAGGTGGAATCCTTAGCTTTTACCTATGATCCAAAATGGCTGCTCTAGCTCCATCTTCTCTGTACTACAATCAGAGGGAGGGAGGAACATTTAGAAAAAAGAGTTCCTTCTTTTTAAGGCCACTTGCTGAAAGGTGAATACTACCTTCTCTCCACCTCACATTCAGCCCAAACTTACTCATATGACCACACTACCTGCAAGCAAGACTGAGAGGTAGATAAGACAGAGATGCGCCTGACTAAAACTCAGAGGTTCTTTCTAGAGGAGGAAGGCTAATAGTAGTCTTCACCAAAGCAGTGGTTTAATGTCAGCTTATATCTTGTCTTCCATTTTGCCAGTCTTGTGAGGCAGGCTATCAAAAAGAATCTAGTACAATTTAACAAAAGCTTATAGCTAAAAGAGCACTCAAAAGCCAGTGGCCGAAGAAATAGGTTTTAATTTCCAGTGACAAAGAGATATGGCCAGGGAGAACAATGATTAAAGGACCCACAGTCATGTATCAGTTAACAGGACAAGTCAGAGCAATAAAGTATTTTTCAAACATTATCCCTTTACATGTATTTAAAGTCAGTTGTATCCCTCTGTCTCTAAATGGCCCCTACCTAACTTTCCATCTTGTAGCCATCCATTCCAAATGGGGTTTGGAACCACTTTCTCCTACTTACTACTGATGGGGCCTTAGGTAAATTATTTTATCTCTGTGGATCTTCACCATAATCATCAATAAACTAGAAACAATACCCACCTCTGAGGGTTGTAGTATTCTGAGGGTTCAATGAGTTAAAGTATATACAAGTCCCTGGTGAAGGGCTTGACACAGAGCATGTACTCCATATAAAAGCTTTGATCATGGTCTTTATTATATTAATATTCAAAAGTTCATTTTCCTGGAAAAGTATTTAAGTTTCTCAGTTCCAGTACTAAGTATTTCTTTCCACAAATTATTCTTTATCAATATTCAACTCCCATATGTAATTTTCAAAATTTTCCTCATCAATGGACTCTCTAATTTTGTCCAGAGTACTGATTCTCCAAGGTCTGACAACCTGCCAGCACACATTAGGGAGATTTGGCGAATAATGCCCTATCTTCTTATAAGACTAGCTCTGTGCACGTCATGCCATTTATTCAACAACTTTCAGACCTATAAGATTACTCCAGAATAATGGTTGTATGTAGGCAGAGCAATTTAAGCATTAGCTGTCTAGATGCTCTCAAGCCTTACGCTGAACAAGAGTAAAATAAGAATGTACTAATCAGCTTCTGCTGCATAACAAACTACCCCTAGTGGCTTAAAATAACCGCCACCTATTTCGCTCACAACTTTGTACTTTGACACTTTGGGTCAGGCTCAGGTGGGTAGTCATCTAATCTCAACTAGGCTCATAAGATATACTTGAGGTTGGCTGGTAAATGATGCATCTTAACTAGTACAGCTGATTTTCATTCCTGTTGATCTTTCATCCTCTAGCTAGCTAGCCCAAGCTAACTCTCAGGGTGATAATAGCAGCAAAGTATGCAAAGACTTTTGAGGTATAGGCTCAGAACTGAACCATTATCATTTTTGCCACTTCCTATTGGCCAAAAGCAAGTCAAAAAAGCCAGCCAGATTCAAATAAATGGGAAAATAGACTCCTTTTTTGATTGAAGGAGATGCAACACCGCATCATGAGACATGGACAGAGGTAGGATAGAAAGTTGTTATTTTTGTATTCTACCACATTTTCTTCCAATGCTAGGCTTCTGATTTCTTGGATTCCATGTGAGGCCTCAAAGCAGTAATGTACTATGCACTGGACCAAAATCCACAGAGAAGCAATGGGTCAGCAGGACGGGGAGGCACTAAAACTAACATTTTACACCTAAGTTGAACTTTTTCTTTCCTTTATGACATCAATTTTTTCCTGCAGCACGAGACGTTCTCAGATGCTTTCCAGTCCTTCACCCAAGGTGGGCTGAAATAGACTCTAGCAACTTTGTCCCTAATACATTTTTACTTATGTGTTGTACACAGTTTTCTCCACTGTAATTTCCTTATTATAGGGTCTTGTGCCTAAATAAGCGAAAGTGGGGTGGATGCTACCTGGTCAGATTCTCACTCTGATTGAGGCTGCTGTCACTCTGGGAGTTGAGAGAACAGCAACTGCTCCACCTCTTTTTAACCACCTTACACCCCCCTCTCATTTTAAGCCTGACTGATCTGCACATTTCTCCTGAATGCACTAATTTAACATTGTCTGTTTCCATTAGACTTTCCTTTCCTCCTGCTCCACAGATTCTCCTGTGGTCAATAATGACCACTTATTAGGAACAGTTCTGCCAGCTGTGCAGTCCTTGAAGCGGACCACCAACTAGCCAGTTTTGTCTCTTGTGTGTGACAATATGGAGGTTCTAAATAAAGAAATGCCAATCTGATACTATATAGCTAGGAATGATTTGAACCTTGTAAAACACATTAAAGCCATCTTCAAAATAACCAGTTGGGTGCAGTGGCTTGTGCCTGTAATACTAGCATTTGGGGAGGCTGAAGCGGGCAGATCATTTGAGGCCAGGAGTTTGAGATCAGCCTGGCCAACATGGTGAAACCTCATCTCTACTAAAAATACAAAAATTAGCTGGGCATGGTGGCTTACACCTGTAATTCCAGCTACTCAGGAGGCTGAGCCATGAGAATTGCTTGAACCCAGGAAGCAGAGGTTGCAGTAAGCCAACTGCACTCCAGCCTGGGCAAACAGGGCAAGACTCCATCTAAAAACAGCAAAAACAACAATGAAAAAACGCTCCTCTTTTCATTGAGCATGTTTATTAAATGAGCATTTATTCAGCACAGTTAACAACCAGGAACTATACAGTGGAAATAATGAATAAGACCCTCTGCTACAATGAACCCCAATCCTGAGCATGGAGACAAGCAAGAAAATAAAAAATTACATAGTGAGTAAAAAATATTTTAGTGGCAGGACACAAGGTAGAGAGGAGTACAGGAGAGCACAGATGGAGGGCAGAGTGGGGGAGGGGAAGGAAACACTCAAGAAGAGAGAATACTTGAGATACATGGTTTTGAACGTTGTTAAGTCATCCCAATTTTTTTCCTTCAGATGATTATTTTAACTCTTTCCACTTTCATCAGAGTCTTGCTTTCCAACCTTTAAAATCCTGTTGCTTGTCTTTTGTTTTCCAGAAATTCCTTTGGAAAGCCTTGGGAACCACCTTAGCATGCTGCCAAGATTCAGACTTTGTAAACTCACAGATTAAGGAGTTTCTGACTGCTCCCAACCAGCTAGGGGATCAAAGACAGGTGGGATCCCTTGCTCTCAATTTCCTCTTAGGATGATAACAACTAATCCTACCCTCAAAACCTCTGACTGCTTTTATAATAATGTTCTATTTAACCAGAATTATCAATTAATACACTCAGAATAGCCCAACAGAAATTTTCAGAAAAGTGGGACTTTTATGTTTAAAAATCAATACTTCATTTTTAACCAAGTTTGTAAAAATATTGAAAATGAATTTCAATAATTCTTACCTAACCAGAGTATCTTTGATATATTCTGAGCTTGGCTTGACTTAGAGCATGATTATGAGCATCAAAATGATTGAATTTACAAGCCAAAAGTTGCCTATCGACTAATCTAGAGAGAATGTAAGGACAACCCGAAGTGCTTCTGCAAAGCTCTGCCTACTTCCTATCATAGCCTGTAGCTACACAGCATACATAAATGTGGAGGAAGAAGAAGACTTGCATTTTGTTGTTGTTGTTCCTGTTAAGACAGAATCATTTTTCCTTTTCTTTTTTTTTTTTTTTTTTTTTTTGTTTGAGAGTGTGCCTCGCTCTGTCAACCAGGCTGGAGTGCAGTAGTACCATCTTGGCTCACTGCAATCTCCGCCTCCTGGGTTCAAGCAATTCTCCTGCCTCAGCCTCCCAAATAGCTGGGACTACAGGTGTCTGCCACTGCGCCTGGCTAATTTTGTATTTTTAGTTAGAGATGGATTTTCAGTATGTTGGTCAAGCTGGTCTCAAACTCCTGACCTCAGGTGATCCACCTACCTTGGCCTCCCAAAGCGCTAAGATTATAAGAATGAGCCACCGCAGCTGGCTGAAGATGTGTATTTTTAAAATAAACCAACAAAAAATACTTCCCAGGTTAATAAAGACCACCAGTATAAAAAAAAAAAGTACAGTGTGTTATACATTCTCCACAGAAATTCTGAGATATTTAGGGTCCTTTCTCCCACAGTAAATGGCTAGAAACCACTAAACTTTACTGAACTTTTGAAACTTATATTACTATCATTTCCTTTTCTCTTGTCAGATATTATTATTGCTTGCTGTTGTCACCATCTCCAATATCATTTTTTCCATCTTAGCTCTGGTATAGGTTAGGAAACAAAGTAAGTTGATTTTAGATATAAGCGTATAATAAGACTTTTATTTAAGGTTTGAGAGTTTCACAAACTTTAAAAAATAAATCATGATGTCCAATTGAGCTTCTCAAATACCTTTTTTTCTTAACTTTTAAGTCCCTGAATATGTCTTAAACACTCAAGTCACTTAGTAAATGACCTCTGGATAAATAAAATGCTAACACATGACTTTCATATCCCACTGAGCCTACTTGGTTTTCAATCTCCTAAGCAAAATGTTTTCCATCATGTGATGCTAGAGCTCCAATTCTAGCTTCATACTAGAACAGTTATTATCCAGGCTCTACAAGATTGGTCTGGTCTATGGGTTTTCGTGATGGTTCTAGCAGAGTTATGCAACTGAATGACATGTAACAGGATTCAGGAACAAACTGCCATGAAAGAACAGTGGTGAAATCAGCTTTGGACAAGAGAGGTGGGGACAGAGGGAATATATAACCTCAGAGTACGAAACAAGAGCTTCCAGATTTCAGAAACTTAACCACTGAAGTTACAGTAAAGTTTCAGGAACAGAATGATCCTTTAAAACCATCAGTCAATTCAAGCTGAAAATAACCTCCTTTAGCTTCCCAGCAATCCCACATTACAAATCCAAAATCTTGGGAATGGCCTAAAAGGCCCTACTATGATAAACTCCCCACCTCCTTTCTCACTCATTTTGCACTGCTCTCCTCCCTGACTATTCACTCAGCCTTCTCAGTGGCCTTCAGGAGCTTTGCACCTACCTTCTTTCTGATTAAAAGTCTACTTTCCCGACAGTCTAACGGTTCATTACCTCACTCATTTCAGGGCTCTGCTCAGTGTCACCTTGTCTATGAGACCATCTCTGACTATCTTGTTTAAAAAATGCAAACTTCCCCCACTATTGCTGCTTAACTTATCTTTATAGCACTTATCACCATCTGGCACACTATATATTTACCTGTTTACTGAATTGATGTGTTTACTTATTTCACTTTGCCGTTGCTTCCCTGTCAGTTCTCCTGGTTGTATACTTCACAAACACAAGGACTTTAGTATGTTTTGCAAACTACTGTATCCCCAGCACCTAAAAGGGTACCTGGTGCATAATAGGTACTTGGTAAATATTTGTTGAATAAATAAATGGTTAAACTCAAAATGTCATACCTTTTCTTATTTTAGGGAATAACATCTATTTTAGGATACTGTGCTGAGACCCATTTGGATATTGTTTTAAAAGTTCTTAAAACATTCCAAAATCAGGAAAACTTTTTCATGAATCGATATAAGGTAAGAAGAATCATCTTTTTTAAAGTTCCCAGTATTGCAAGTCCAGAAAACACTGATTTTTTCAGTGAATATCCTTTCTCTATATTATACTTACTCCTGTCCCCAGGTTCTTATTCCAGGTCAGAACTGTCCAAGCCCAGGCTTTATAGGATGATCAGCTATGTGAAAAGTCTACTTTATTTTCTCTGACCCTAAAACTGATCTGGAAGATCCTAAATGCGCTCTCCATGTGCCTAGGTTTGTCAGGCTACCAACTTCTCAGCCCTTGTGAATGGCTCCTCTCATGTGTACTCTGCTTCCCCTGCAGGAAAGCGGTTTAATAAATAATTAACAAAAGCCTCTCCTAGTTCTCTCTCTGAAGGTCTGATAGTCCCACAGTACTATCCTGGCTGTTTACATTTAGACAGGCAAGAGTGTATTCATTTTAGATTTATTTGAACCATCTCAGTCTGGTTTCTTATCCCCTGTAGTGGGTGGTCCATGGGATTAGGGAAAAAACCATGAGAGAAAATAAAACTCCTTCAGTCACATTTTTCATATCTCCCTTTCCTGGTCTTCAGAGCCTTTTTTCTGGGAAAAAGAGCCTGACCAAGACAGATGTCATGGTCATCTACGGAGCTGTGGCTCTCCATGCTCCCAAGAAGCAACTTCTCACCAGACTTAATCAAGACATCGTATCCCAAGTCCTGTGTCTTTATGGCCAGTGTTCTCAGGTAACACCCATTGTAAGGCTGCCTCCATTTCTAGGCTGGGGTTCCTAAAACTCACAGGGGTTCAGGCCCTGAGAAGCTTTTTTTCTTCCCAGTCTTGGGTATGTATTTATCAGCAATGTGAAAACAGACTAACATAGTAAACGTATCATGGTTTACTTTGCAACCATAAAAAAGAATAAAATCCCAGTGTTGGGTGTGTTTTCAGCAGCAGCATGAAAACAGAATACGGTAAATGTATCATGGATTGCTATGTAGCAGCATGGATGTCTGCATCCTTCAGGCTCAGAGGATACAGTCCAAAAGAAAGATAGATGTATGATTGGTATGTCTGGGGAATGAGAACACACGGGAACAGAAAAATCAATTATAAAATAGGCTCAGGTAATCTGTGTTCTTTCCTAAGCCCCTGAGCAGTTCATGTCCTCCCACTGCTGTGATGAAGTGATTGTCCTAGGTCCATCATATCCATAGTGATCTCACCCTGGTTTGAATGTAGAACAGTTGCTCCTGTACTATTGGGCACCTGGCTTATTACTTCTCTGTAGTAGTGTCAGAAGTGTTACCCAATGGTAGTTGTTTAACTTTTTATATGATAAGACTTACAAACTACCTTGAACAGTATCTCACAAATAGTAAGTGCCATATACATGCTTTTAAGTTAATAAAATATATCCTTCGTCAAGCTATTCAGTTCACCTGTGTTGCACCGTTTTCCCCTTCACATTCGTCACAGCCACCCTGACCCTCCTTGATGCTTCTCAAACATACCAAAAACATTCTACCTTCAGAGCCACCAGAATGGAATTCATCTGATCATTCTGTCTTCCATAGCGCTTTATTTGTATCTTTAATAAGTTGCTTTATGCATATTATGAATTCATCCATTTTGCTGATAAATACCAGGCTAGCCACCTAAGAATCACATAAGAATCAAGTTTAAAATATAGCTTCCTAGGGTTGTTTTCTAGAGAAGTTAGTTCAGTAGGTCTTGGGAAAACTCTGGTAATATGTATGCTTAAAAGGCTCATGAATTATTCTTATTTATAGATGGATGTGGGAGGCTTTCATTGATTACGTGCACATCTGCTTCTCCTGTTGGATTGTCAGCACCTTGATGTTAGGGACTCCTTTAGCTTCTCTTCTGTGCTTCCACAAACCACATGCTGATGCATAAGTGCTCTTCACATTTATTCATATGTATATGTGATGAGAATAGACTCATAAGGACTCACGAAATTATAGTCATCAGTATCTGCTAGTGGAAGAGTGTAGGGCAGTGATTCTCACACCTTAGTTACATAAGAATTGCCTGAGAGCCCGTTAAAAATAGAGATGCCTAATGAATCACAGTCTTCAGAGATGAATCACCAAATTTGTATTTTCAGCATGTTCTTCAGGAGCTGATTCTGATGCACTCAAAATCTGATAAGCAATGATTAGAAATAGAAAACATAATAAAAGATGTTTTATATTACATTAATTTATAGTCTATCACTGAGGAAAATACAAGAGGGAGAGGCCAAGCATGGTGGCTCATGTCTATAATCTCACCATTTTGAGAGTCCAAGGTAGTAAGATCTCTTGAGGCCAGGAGTTGGAAACCAGCCAGGCAACATAGTGAGACCTCATCTCTACAAGAAATTATTTTTTTAAACCTGTAATCTCAGCACTTTGTGAGGCCAAAGTGGGAGGACCACTTGAAGCCAGGGATCTGAAACCAGCCTGGGCAAAGTATCAAGACCTCATCTATAAATATATATATAAAATAACTGACCAGGTTGGATATTACATACCAGTAGTCTCAGTGAACTCTAGCCTGGGTGACAGAGAAAGACCTTGTCTCTAAGAATAAATAGAAGAGGAAGAAAAATAAGGATGACTAAGATAACAATTACACTTTCAGGGTACAGTCAGTTTTGCCATAACGCAACATATGCACATGATAATATAGGCAAAACCTAAGGAGAAAATGAGGTTGAGATACGACACTCAAAAAAACATCACTTTTTTTTGTTTAGAAGCCCCTCCTGGACAGATTTTTTTTCATAGCTCTGAGCAAATTTATTTCCCTTAGAAATTATTTTCAACTTTTAGATATAGGAGGTCCACAGCAGGTTTGTTGCATGGGCATATTGCACCCAGGTGGTGAGCATAGTACTCAGCAGTTAGTTTTTTGACCCTTGTCTGCCTCTAATAGTCCACAGTGTCTTGTTTCCATGTTTATTTAGCTCACACTTATTTGGTTTTCTGCTCCTGAATTAATTATCTTAGTATTATGGCCTCCAGCTCCATCCATGTTTCTACAAAAGACATGATTTTATTATTTTTTATGGTTGCATAGTAATCCATGTTATATTTACCGTATAAGTCCATTTTCAATCTGCTGACAAAGCCATACCCAAGAATGGAAAGAAAAAAGGGTTTAATGAACTTACGGTTCCACGTGGCTGGGGACACCTCACAATCACGGCAGAAGGTAAAAGATGTCTCACATGGCAGCAGACAAGAGCTTGTTCAGGGAAACTCTCCCTTATATAATCATCAGATCTTGTGAGACGTATTCACTATCATGAGAACAGCACAGGAAAGACCTGCTGCCATGGTTCAGTTACCTCCCACTGAGTCCCTCCCACAACATGTGGGAATTCAAGATGAGACTTGGATGGGAACACAGCCCAACCATATCTATATATATATCTATATATAAATGTGGGATATATGTATACATATTTTTCCACATTTTTATCCAGTCCTCCATGGTTGATTCCATGTCTTTGCTATTGTGAATAATGCGGCAATGAACATGTGAGTGCATGTGTCTTTTTGGCAAAATAAACCCTTTTTTTCTTTTCAAGATGGAGTCTTGCTCTGTCACCCAGGCTGGAGTGCAGTGGTGCAATCTCAGCTCACTACAATCTTCACCTCCCAGGTTTAAGCAATTCTCCTGCCTCAGCCTCCAGAGCATCTGGGATTACAGGTGCCCACCACCACACCTAGCTAATATTTGTGTTTTTAATAGAGACAGGTTTCACCATGTTGGCCAGGCTGGTCTCAAACTCCTGACCTTGTGATCCACCCACCTTGGCCTCCCAAAGTGGTGAGATTACAGACATGAGCCACCACGCCCAGCCCCATATTTTTTTTTTTTTTTGGTATAGTCCCAGTAATGGAATTGCTTGATGGAATGGTAGCTCTGCTTTTAGTTCTTTAAGAAATCTCCTATCTGCTTTCCACAGTGCCTGAACTAATTTATATTCCCACCAACCATGTGTAAACATTCCCTTTTCTCCCCAGCCTCACCAGCATCTGTTGTTTTTTTGACTTTTTAATAATTGCCATTTTGACCCGTGTAAGACAGTATTTCATTGTGGTTTTGATTTGCATTTTTTTGATGGTTAGTGATAATGTGCATTTTTTCATGTTTGTTGGACACTTATATGTCCTCTTTTGAGAAGTGTCTGTTCATGTCCTTTGCTACTTTTTAATGGGGTTGTTTGTTCTTTGTTTGTTGATTTGTTAAAGTTCCTTATAGATTCGGATGTTAGAGCTTTGTCGGATGCATAGTTTGAGGATATTTTATCCCATTCTATAGATTGTCTGTTTACTCTGTTGATACTTCCTTTTGCTGTGCAGAAGCTCTTTAGGTCCTACTTGTCAATTAAATCTTTAATCTATCTTGGGTTAATTTTGATATATAGTAAAAGGTAAGGATCTAGTTTCATTCCTCTGCATATAGCTAGCCAGTTATCCCAGCAACATTTATTGAATAGGGAGTTCTTTTCCTATTGCTTTTTTTTTTTTGTCAGCCTTGTCAAAGATCATATGGTGTATGGCTTTATTTCTGCGTTTTCTATTCTGTTCTATTGATTTATGTATCTGTTTTTGTGCCAGTACCATGCTGTTTTGATTACTATATCCTTATAGTGTAGTTTGAAGTCAGGTAGTATGATACTTCCATCTTAGTATTACTTTGGCTAGTCAGGCTTTTTTCTGGTTTGAATATAAATTTTGTAATAGTTTTTTTTCTACTTCTGTGAAGAATGACATTGGTAATTTGATAGGAATACCATTGAATCTGTAAATTGCTTTGGGCAGTGTGATCATTTTAACAATATTGATTCTTCCTATCCATGAGCATGGAATGTTTTTCCGTCTATTTATACCATCTCTGATTTCTTTTAGCAGTGTTTTGTAGTTCTCCTCGTAAAGGTCTTTCATGGCCTTGGTAAACTGTATTCCTATGCATTTTATTTTCTTTGTGACTATTATAAATGGGATTATGTTTTTGATTTGACTCTCAGCCTGGACATTACTGGTGTATGAAAATGATGAAACTGCTACTGACTTTGTATCCTGAAACCTTATGAAATCATTAATTAGTTCCAGCAGCCTCTTTGTGGAGTCCTTAGGGTTTTCTGTGTATGAAATCATTTTGTCAATGAATATGAATCTTTAAAAAAAAATTTAATACAGAAATGCTACCCAGAAACTGGCATTTTACCTTGAAACCCTGAAGTCAGTTGTGAAAGTTGGGACTTCTTAAGAAATGGTAAAAGGAAGGAGGCTTATCTGAAATCTGATGGACAGTTGTAACACCAGATTTAGATGGGAAAGGCTCATAACACACAGTAAACTGAGGTAACTTGTAGATTCATGGGATGTGTGCATGTGTGTACTTTGAGTATTCCTACGTGACTCAGTTCAACTGCGCACCTTTCCTCTCACAGAGGAAACTGCACACAAGCAAATGTGAATGCAACACGTGAATACATGCTAAAAGTATTCTCTGATACAGTATGTCAATCTCTTTGGAACAAATCTGCATTTTCAGCACAAATGTTATAGCAGAACTCACTGTGCTCACAGTTCCAGAGTAAGCTGTCCTTTGACTTTTCCTTTTACAATTTTTCACTTCTCATTTCCCTAAGAGCCTTTACCCTTTTTCCTTACCAAAGTCTATTGAGCCTTTTTAAACAGATTGTGAAGCCTGAACACCCAAGACTCGAAGTCTCTATCCTGTTTTCTGTAGCTTATTCATGACTTACCTGGGGGAAAGCCTCTGCTAATGTACAAGATCTCACTTTAAAAATGGAAGACATGAAAGTCCCCCCTCTCCTTGGCAAGACACCCCTTGGCAAAGCTCCACCTCCTGCTTTACCATTGTCCTTCAGGCTGGTGGATGGGTCCTTTTGTTGGGTTGGGTGTATGTGTGACTGCTACTTATTTGAGTATCTAATTTTGCCTTTGATTTTTTCTTTTAGGTTCTGGGCATGTCTGTGATGAACAAGGTATGAGACAGAGAGAGTTCCCCTGAAGTATGCCAAGCAAAGATTTGATTTCAGTGGAAAGGCTTACAATATGTAACTATCTAGTTCTGAAATCAGAATCTATGATTCTAATCCAGGGCAGAACAAGGAACTATATTCTGGTTCCAGGAACATTAGAAGTTGAGCTATAAACTAAAGCAATGTTTTTCAAACGTTGATCACCAGTTGACCATGAAATCAATTTAATAGGTCACAATCAGCAAAATTATTTAATGAAATTAATTACAGAATACTTTTTATAGCAATTATAACTATTATTTCAGTTATATATTAAACATATTTGAGGTATATAGGTACTAGGCAGAATTGTAAACTGTTTCTTACTGTTGATTATGGTCAAAAAAGTTTGAAAGTCACTGTCCTAGAAAACCTCCATTCTATTGTGGATGGTAGTCAGGGAAATCGGCCTTTGGTTCTCACTTTCCCTGCAACTTAGACCCTAGGCTGGAGTAGAGATGGCAAAGGAAGCAAAGATTCTCACTCCTGTCTGGGAACATATTTCAAAGCTAGGTCACATGTTTATAGACCTGAGTGTGGTGCCTTAGACCTTGACTTGCAAGGTGAATGCTTTTGCTTTAGGACATGGATCTGCAAATGAGTTTTGCAAGAAGCATCACTGAGATTGCCATTGCTGTCCAAGACGCTGAGGATCAGGAGTTTAAGCTTTCCTCCAAGGAGATGCTGATTGGTTACATGCTGGTGAGTGTGCAGAGGAGGAATAAGAAAGGACCTGAGTATTCCATTACCAAGAGTTCAGGGCTATCTTTTTAAAAAGTGAATTGACTTCACCAGTCCCACGTAACAGATCTCTGCCTTGTTTCTGACCCAGAGCACCCCATGGTCCAATGAGGTTGCATCTGGAAACTTTCCTGAGCCTTCATGAAACATTTCACCTCCTTACTTGTGTTGCAGGACTTCATTAGAGACGAGCCCCTGGATTCCTTAGCTAGCCCTGTTCGATGGAAAGCCTTAATCGCCATTAGATATCTCAGGTAGATAATTTTTTGTTGTTTTCCTTGAAAAAGTATTTTTCCCCCTTACCTTCCTCCTGATCAACTGACATCTATTAGTGCAGACTTCAGTGCTCACTCCCAAAACTGAACACAGCTGATTAATGGGACCTTCAAACTGGGCCTTTTTCTCCTTCCAAAGAGTTATGAATCTGGGTGAGAGATTAGTCATTTGACAACTAATAGAGACTAAAGAGCTACTCAGACGAATCATATGTATAGATGAGGACTAAAATTTCTCTGAAAAAGGAAATTCCTCTTTCTAGATCTTGGCATCCAGGAAAATTTTAATGTTTCAGTTAAAATCTTATGAAAGTCCTAATCACATTCAGTTGGTTAGAAGTGATAAACCTGAAAAAGAAAATAATTTTTGGCACATTTTAAAAATCATATTTTCCCCCTGCAGTAAAATAAATAGAAGTTAAATCAAAACCTCAATAAGATAGCATATCACACCAATCAGAATGGCTATTATTAAAAAGAAAAAAAAAAGATACTGATAAGGTTGTGGAGAAAAGGGAACACTTTTACACTACAGATGGGAATGTAAACCAGTTCAGCCACTGTGGAAAGCAGTTCAGATAGCTCTCAAGGAACTTAAAACAGAGTTACAATTCAACCCAGCAATCCCATTTCTTGATATATACCCAGAGGACATAAATAGCTCTACCATAAAGATACAGGCATGCATATGTTCATTGCGGCACTATTCACAGTAACAAAGACATGGAATCAACCTAAATGCCCATGAATGATGGACTGGATAATGAAAATGTGATGCATTATACCATAGAATACTGTGCTGCCATAAAAAAGAATAAAATCGTGTCTTTTTCAGTGACTCAAAAGGAGCTGGAAGCCATAAACCTAAGCAAATTAATGCAGGAAAACCAAATACCACTAATTTTATAAGTGGGAGCTAAATATTGAGTACACATGGAAATAATAGACACTGGGGCCTACTTGAGGGTGGAGGTTGGGAGGAGGGTGAGGATTTTAAAACTATCTGGTACAGTGCTTATTAGTAATGAGATAATCTGTACACCAAATCCTCATGACATGCAATTTATCCATATAACAAACCCACACATGTACCCTGTGAACCTAAAATGAAAGATGGAAGAAACAAAAAGGAAAATAGAACTCCTTAAAAATTTGGAAACCACAAAAACAATTTTAAAAATAACAAAAACTACCCATAGTGCCCCTGCTGCCAATACTTTGGTCTATTTCCTTGATGTGGTTTGACTTTGTGTCACACCCAAATCTCATCTCAAATTGTAATCCCCATGTGTTGAGGGAAGGACCTAGAATCCCCACGTGTCAAGGGAAAGAGGTGATTGGATCATGGGGATGGTTTTCCCATGCTCCTCTCATGGTAGTGAGTGAGTTCTCATGAGAGATGATGGTTTTATAAGTGTTTGACAGTTTCTTCTTCACATGCTCACTCTCTTTTGCTGCACTGTGAAAAAGCGCCTGCTTTTCCTTTGCCTTCTGCCACAATTGTAAGTTTCCTGAGGTCTCCTGAGCCATGTGGAACTGTTAGTCAATTAAACCTCTTTCCTTTATAAATTGCATAGTCTCAAGTATTTCTTTATAGCAGTGTGAAAATGTGCTAAAATGTGTTCCTTCAAGTCTTTATTTCTAGTCTTCCATTTTTATAGCAGAGTTGAGATTCTATTCTGCATTTGCTTTTTCATCCTGCTTTTTCTTTTTCACCTTATGTATTTCCACATTATTACCAATTCTTCACAAAAATCCTACTTTTCTTATTTTTGTTTTTGTTAATTTTTAATTGTGGCAAAATACATAAAATATGAAATTTATAATCAGTCATTTCTAAGTATACAGATCAGTTTTATTAAGTACATTCATATTGTTTGCTAAATGTATTTGGCTTTATTTTTGGGTTCTCTATTCTGTTCCATCATTCTAAGTGCCTATTTCTGTAACAGTGCCATGCTGTTTTGGTAACTATAGTTTCGTATAATTTGAAGTCAGGTAATGTGATAACTCCAGATTTGATCATTTTTCTTAGTATTGCTTTGGCTGTGTGGGCTCTTTTTTTTTTTGAGATGAAATCTCACTCTGTCACTCAGGCTGGAGTGTAATGGCATGGTCTCAGCTCACTGCAATCTCTGCCTCAGGTTACAGCAATTCTCCTGCCTCAGCCTCCTAAGTAGCTGGGTGCATACCCACCACACCTGGCTAAATTTTTGTCTTTTTAGTAGCATTGGGGTTTCACTCTGTTGGCCAGACTGGTCTCTAACTCCTGACCTTGTGATCCAGTGGGCTTTTTTATTCCATAAGAATTTTAAGATTTTTTTCCAAGTCCTATGAAAAATGATGATGGTATTTTAATGGGAATTGTATTGAATCTGTCCATTGCTTTGGGCAATATGATCATTTTAACAGTATTGTATTTCCCATCCTTGAGCATGGGATCTGTTTCCATTTGTTTGTATATTCTAGGGTTTCTTTTGGCAGTGTTTTGTAGTTTGCCTTGTAGCTATATTTCACTTCCTTGGTTAAGTACATTTCTAGGTATTTAATTTTTTTTTTACAGCTGTTGTTAAAGGGATTGCATTCTTTATTTGACTCTCAGCTTGGTCATTGTTGGTGTATAGCAGAGCTACTGATTTGTATATATTGATTTCCTAACCTGAAACTTCATTTTTTATAGCCATTCTAAATGGGTGAGGTGGTATCTTCTAGTAGTTTTGATTTGCATTATCCGAATGATTAATGATGTTGAATATCATTTCATATGCTTGTTAGCTATTCGTATATCTTTTTTGGAGAAATGTCTACTCAAGTCGTTTGCCCATTTTAAAATCAAGTTGTTTTGTGTTTTGTTGTTGAATTATAGCATTTTTAAATTTATTCTGGACATTAATCTCTTATCAGACATATGATTTGTAAATATTTTTGTCCCGTTTAATATGTTGCCTTTCACTCTGCTAATTGTATCTTTTGATGTGCAAAAGTTTTGTTTTGTTTTCTTTTTTTCAATTTCTATTTTAGATTTGGGAGTACATGTGCAGGTTTGTATATTACATGATGCTGAGACTTGGAGTACAGATGAATCTGTCACCCAGGTAGTGAGCATAGTACCAATAAGTAGGTTTGTTTACCTTTACCCCCTGTCTCCCTCCCTCTTTTGTATTCCCTAGGTGCAAAGAAGTTTATAATTTTTAAGTAGTCCATTTGTCTATTTTTACTTTTGCTCCCTGTGTTTCAAGAAATCACTGTCAAATTCAAGATCATGAAGCTTTTTTCTATGTTTTCTTCTAAAAGTTTAATAGTTTTAACTCTTACATTTAAATCTTTCATCCATTGTAAGTTGATTTTAGCATATGATGTCATGTAAGGGTCCAGCTTAACTCTTTTGCATGTGGATATTTATTTTTTCCAACATTTCTCATAAAGATTGTCCTCACATCAAAAGCTTGGCCTACAAAAGTACATATAAATAAATGGCACTACATCAAACTAAAAAGTTTCTGTAGCACAAAGGGAATCGTAAACAAAATGAAAAGGCAACCTCTGGATCGGGAAAAAAGTATTTGTAAACCATATATCTGAGTTAATATCAAAATTTGTGAAGAACTCATGCAACTCAATAGAAAGAAAATATATAACGTAATTAAAAAATGAACAAAGGATCTGAGTAGACATTTCTCAAAAGAAGGCATGCAAATGGCTAGAAGACAAATGAAAAATACTCAATATCACTCACAATCAGAGAAATACAAATCAAAACCACTCTGAGATACTACCTCATACCTGTTAAGATAGCTATTATTAAAAAGAAACACTAACAAGTGTTAGCAAGAATGTAGAGAAAGAAGAACTCTTGTACACTGTTGGTGGGAGTGTAAATTGGTGCATCCATTATGGAAAACAGTATGGAGGGTCCTAAAGAAATTAAAAGTAGGATTACTATATGACCCAGCAAATTCTCTTCTGTGTGTACACCCAAAGGAAATGAAATCACCACCTCATAAAGATATCTGCACTCCCTGAGAGATGAAAAATTACCTATTAGGGTACAATGTACACTATTCGGGTAACAGGTACACTAAAATCTCAAACATCACTACGATTTAGCTCATCCTTGTAACCAAAAACCACTTGTACCCCTATAGCTTTTTTTTTATTGCATTTTAGGTTTTGGGGTACATGTACAGAACATGCAAGATAGTTGCATAAGTACACACATGGCAGTGTGTTTTGCTGCCTTCCACCCCTTCACCCACATTTGGCATTTCTCCCCAGGCTATTCCTCCCCAGCTCCCCTATAGCTTTTGAAATTTAAAAAAAAGTTTTAAGGTATCTGTATTTCCATGTTTATTGTAGCATTATTAACAATAGCTCAGATCTGGAAACAACCTAGGTGTCTGACAATGAATAAATGGATAAAGACATTGTGATATTTACACACACAATGGAATAGTACTCAGCATTTAAAAAGGAGATCCTGCCATTGGTTACAATATAAGTGGATCTGTAAGACATTTTGTTATGTAAAATAAGCCAGACACAGAAAAAATAGCGTCCTTTCCCCATGGAAAGGTCTTGGTACCCTTGTCAAAATTCATTTAATAATTTACTTACAAGTTCTTTATTCTATTCCATTGGTTTATATGTCTTTTGTTCTGTTTTTGTTTTTGTTTTCTGAGCCAGGGTTTCACTCTGTCACCCAGGCTGGAGTGCAGTGGTACAATTTCAGCTTACTGCAGAGTTTACTTTCTGGGCTCAAGTGATGCTCCCGCTTTAGTCTCCCAAGTATCTGTGATCACAGGCAAGCACCACCACACCCAGCTCATTTTTCTATTTTTGTAGAGACATGATTTTGCCATGTTGTCTAGCTAGTCTCAAACTCCTGGGCTCAAGCTATCCACCCACCTCAGTGTCCCAAAATGCTGGGATTACAGGTTTGCACCACCACACCTGACCTATGTCTATTTTTATGCCCGTAACATACTATTTCGATTACTGTGCTTTAGTAATAAGTTTTGAAATCAGTGTGTGTAAGACCTACAACTTTGTTCTTTTTCTTTTTTTGAGATGGAGTCTTGCACTGTAGTCCAGGCTGTAGCGCAGTGGCGCGACGATCTCCGCTTACTGCAATCTCCGCCTCCCGGGTTCAAGCAATTCTCCTGCCTCAGCCTCCCGAGTAGCTGGGACTACAGGCATGTGCCACCATGCCCAGCTAATTTTTTTGTACTTTTGGTAGAGACAGGATTTCACCATGTTGGCCAGGATGGTCCTGATCTCCTGACCTCATGATCTGCTCGCATTGGCCTCCCAAAGTGCTAGAATTACAGGCGTGAGCCACTGTGCCCAGCCACTTTGTTCTTTTTCAAAATTTTTTGGCTATTTGGAGTCTCTAGAGATTTCATATGAATTTTAGGATGAATTTTTCTATTTCTACAAAAGCACCCTTGGTATTTCGATAGGAATTACATTAAATCTGTAGATCTAATGTTAACAATATTAAGATCTAGTCCATTATTTGTGCCTTCTTTCATTCAACAATGTTTAGTGATTTTCTATGTTTCACTTCGTTAAGTTTATTCCTAAGTAGTTTATTCTTTTTGATGCTGCTATAAATGGATTGTTCATTTCCTTTCAGTTTGTTCATTTCTGAACAAATCAATTGTATATAGAAATGCAATAGATTTTTATAGGTTGATTTTGTATCTTGCAACTTTGCTGAATTTACTTATTAGTTCTAACAGTGTTTTGGTCACGTCGTTAGGGCTTCCTTCATATAAGATTGTGTCATCTCTAAACAGAGATAGTTTTACTTCTTTCTTTCCCATTTAGATGCCTTTTAAATTTTTCCTTACCTAATTGCTCTGGTTAGAATTTCCAGTACTATGTTAAATAGAAGCTGTAAAAATGGTATCCTTGTCATATTCTTGATCTTATAGGGGATGCTTTCAGACTTTTACCATCGAGTATGATGTTAGCTATAAACTTTTCACATATGGCATGTATTATGTTGAGGTAACAAATATATCTTTAATGGCTGCCTAATATCTTATATAAATATGTCTCATCTTACTTAACCAGCCTCCTATTGATATATATAATTGTTGCCTATTTAAAAAACTATAAACAATACTGATGAAAGCCTTTGTGCAAAAAATTATTTCCTGAACTTTTAAGTATAATAGTTGATAGTTTTATTCAATAAATATTATTAAGTGGCATCTATGTCATCGAACTATGTTGTAAAAGAGCAATAATGAACAAGATATGACTCTCCCCTGATAGAGTTTCAGCCTACTGGGGGAAACAGATGTAAAAAGCACCCACATAATTTCTCCAAATGTGGTAAGAGGCAAAATCAGAGAGAGCACAAGTTGCCATGTTAACAAAAATGAGGGAGGTTTGTAGAAAGTTCAAATAAATCTATCTTGAAGATGAATTAAGAATTAACCAGACTCTAGAACCATGTTGTCAGGTAGAAATACAATGCGAGTCAGATATGTCACTTAAAACTGTCTGGTAACTACTTTTAAAAGAGTGAAAATAAACAGATTAATTTAATTTTAATAATATATTTTATTTAATCTAATATATTCTGTATATTATTTCAACATGTAATCAGTATCTTAAAATTGGATAATTTACATTATTCTTCATATTAAATCTTCAATATCCCATATGTTACACTTACATTGCTAATCTGGATCAGCCACAACTCATGTTCACTAGCACATGTGGCTGGAGACAGCACGGCTGTAGAACTTGAAAACTAATGACAGCAAGCAAATCAGTGGTTGTCAAGTGAGAGGAAAAGATAACCTGCAAAGGGGCATAGAAAAAAATAGAGTATGATAGAAACATTCTATATTGGTTATGGCAGTGTTTTCATGAGTGTGAACATCTCTCAAAACTTTTTTAATGGATACAGTTTACTGTACATAAATTATACCTCAATACATTGAGTTCTTTTAAAGCACTGAGCCAGACAATAAAGACGAGAAGAGTACATAGAGCTTTCCCAGCTGGTTATGAATTTTATTACTTCCTAAGAGAACTTTATTTCCCTGATAGTGTCCTCATTTTTTATTTCTTTGCTAATTTGGTAGCTCACTAATGATATCTTATTGTCTTAACTTACATTTATTTTAAAAATAAATGGGGTTTTTCATACTTACTGAACACATGCATTTTTCCAAGTCATGTGTAGGTTTTTTCATATCCTCGTGAGGTCTATAGTAAATGTTTGAAAGAAAGAAAGAAAGGCAGAAAGGAAGGACTCCAGTATCTTTTATTCGCTTGTGCATTCATAAGAACCTATAGTATGAGTGGCACTATTTAGAAAATGAAGAGAGACATGAAATTGATCAAAGTCACTGCTGTAGACTTAGAATCTAGTTGAAAAGATATATATATATATATATATATATATATATGTCATTTTCTCTCTCTCTCTCTCACATGGACACACTTACAAGATGGAGAAACCAAGTAGGTAATGCTGTCACAGATCATATAATAAAGTGAGTGATTTGTTCATCACTCTCATCAAAAGAGTAGCGGGATATTGACTGTGCTCACCAGTGCAGTCCGATTCTATGTTTCCATCTCTCCCTACTCCTGTTGCCATCTCTCTCAACATCCCAACATGTCAGAAAATGTGTCACGTTTGTCACATGGACAGATGTGATTGGCAGTTATTGGGAACTCTGCTGGGTATGTTCTGTTGGTCATCATAATATCCTTTCCTCCACGTGGTTCTCATTTCAGTAAACTGAAACCTCAGCTCTCACTACATGACCACCTTAATATTCTTGAAGAGAATATTCGGAGGCTGCTGCCCCTTCCATCTCTGGAAAATCTGAAAAGTGAAGGCCAGACAGACAAGGACAAGGAGCACATTCAAGTATGTGCTAGTGAGGCCTAAGAATGGAATCTGCAACGGGACCTTACTCTCTGACCCCAGGTTGAGACTCACACATATGTATTTTATTTCAGTTCCTCTACGAACGATCCATGGATGCCCTAGGAAAACTTCTGAAGACCATGATGTGGGATAATACAGATGAAGAGGGCTGTCAAGAAATGTTTAATGTGAGTAGGGCCTCCACTCAAACGGATTCTCATTCTCCCTAATCTGTTCTTCAATGTCCATTCCAAACTCAACTGCATTTTCCTCACATGAAGACAGCCAACTGGACCCACCCACACCCCACATACAGCCAGTCTACTTAAAAAGTGTTTGTGGGGAGGTGAGCATCCTGTTACAGAAGAGGCAGAGACAGAAAGAGAGAATGTGAGACTAGATGAATATAAAGGATATTAAGGAAAGAAAACCTATTCTTTGACCAACAGCTTCTCCGAATGTGGGTTGTTTCACCAAAAGAGTGGGAAAGAGAAAGAGCCTTCCAGATCATTGCAAAAGTGCTGACAAGTGATGCTGAGGTAAGTAATGCCCTAGGATAAATAGACTTCATTGCTTGTGAACAACAGGGATCTCTGAGACCTCTGGAATCCAACACTCCTGCATATGGATCTTGCATCTCAGAGTGAAGTGCTATTCCGAGCACCATTGCAGAGAGAGCTAACTTCAGGGTGCAGCTCGCACTCACAATTGAGCTGTTGGGTTGTCTTTACATGCATGCTTACTTTTCCACTGCCCTTTAAAAATAGGCATATTTTACGGGAAAGTGCAAGACCAAATTTCATTTTAAGGACCTGCAGAGAGAAAATAAGAGACTTGAGTCCAGTGTTGGGAATATCCTGGGATATGACCAATCTACCCCATCACAGTGGGGCGCCTCCTTTATCCTGCAGGCACCAGAGAACTTTAAAATGGGTTCACTACTTGGACTCCTGGCTCCTCACTTCTGTGACACCCTGCCCACCATCCGTCAGGCGGCTGCTAGCTCGGCTATTGGTCTGTTCTATATCAAAGGTGAGGGAAAGGTGGGGAACCCACAAATGAAGAAAAGATACCCATCTTTTTTTATTCTCAGCTTTTCTCCTTATGCACCTCTGTCTGTCTCCTTCCTCCCCCTCTTCTTTCCTCATTTTTCTCCTTGTCTTCTCTCCTCTCCCCTTCCTTTGTCTCTTCTCTCTGTTTCTCCTTCCCTCTCCAGTTCAGCCATTTCTGTTTTAATACCTTAATTGTATCACAGTCTGTCTCTCTCCTAGATCTGAAACAAGCATTTCTTTCCTCGGTGGTTCTGTTTTCCTGATTTTTAAAATAGAGATAATAGGCCGAAGCATTATAAAGATCCATTAAAGTAGGAAAAATGTTTTGAGAGTCTCCGATTTAAATCATGAGGCAATTGGGCCTATTAGCCATGCCTCCTCTATCACATGGTTTTCTTCAGGGGAAAATTGCGCTCTTATTGTAGTACTAAGTGCCTTTCCAAGCTCTGTAAGAGACAGAACTTTGTGGAAATTTTCAGAGCAGGAGGAACTGTCATGTGAATAACTGTCAATACCACAAAATATTAGGGAATTTTTAAACCTCAGTCTCAGACTGAAACCAACAATTAGGGCTCCCTATCCAGGTTAATTCAGCCTCTATTTCACCAAGGCAGCCCTGCACTGTGTGTGAGCAGTTCTGTGGAGAAGAAACAGCCAGAAACAGTCTAGACTTAATGCCACCTCATGCCTACCTGTGTTCCACACATCATTTTTCAGGTACTCAACATATTTATCGAGTGCCTTTCCATGTGTCAGGCACTGTTCTGATGCTAGTGACACAGAGATATTACAGTTCCAATATTCATGTTTTATAAGTGTGTTAAAGCCAAAAGGTAGGATTTGGCTGTCGGGGGAGAGGTAGTCAAAAGAAAAAAAACTCTTCAGCAGAGTCAAAGTAGGTATGAAAGCCCTTTGGGATATGGGAAGATATTGATTAAAGATATATGTTTTTGCCAAGTCAGGAAAAAAATAGAATTAAGGAAGTGAGAACTAAAGAACCATTCCAGGCCGGGCATGGTGAGTCACACCTGTAATCCCAGCATTTTGGGAGACCAAAGCTGTAATCCCAGCATTTTGGGAGGTCAGGAGTTCAAGACCAGCTGGCCAACATGGTGAAACCCCATCTCTACTAAAAATACAAAAAATTATCAGGGAGTAGTGGTGGACATCTGTAATCCCAGCTACTCAGGAGCCTGAGGCAGGAGAATCACTTGAACCCGTAAGGTGGTGGTTGTAGCAACCCAAGATCATGCCCATGCACTCCAGCCTGGGAGACTGTCTCAAAAAATAAAAATAAAAAACCCATTTCAATAATGATAGAAATATGCCAGTAGGGAACTCATGGGAAGAAAGGAATTTGGATTCTATTATTATTCTACCTATTTTTCCTTTAGCCCACTTCATTTTCCTAAAATATGAAAAATTCAGGTCCTCAAACACTCTTTGTTAATAGAACTCCCATGCTTCATAATTTACATTGACATTTCCCTGATGGACCAAACAAGCATGGTAGAGAGAAAGAACATATATTACTAAAACACCTACTAGACACAAGTAACAAGTGTGACACTAAATTAAATGTCCATCAATTCTCACAGACGTTTCTCAGTTAGTTTTGAGAGAGGGGATCTGAAAATAAGTTTTCCATTACTTGGACCACTGAAAGTAGAGTAGCTGGGCTTTGCACTCAGGTGCATCTGACTTCAAAGCCCACATGTATCCCACTGGGCTAGGCTGCCTTCCACAGAATGGTTTGTGCATTAGTTTCCATGATTACTATACATTCGAATAATAAATAGAAAATCTTAATTGTTTAGGTCTGCATTTATAGATTGATATCAACAATCACTTACAGGTGCTGATGGAAACTTCTCATTATAATTGTTGCCTCTCAGTTTCCCCAATGAGGGAGCTCACTGAAGAATGGAAATCCAAAAGAGGTGGCAGTATAGCAGAATAGCTGGAGCCTGGGCATTTGTGCCAGACAGACCAGGGTTCAAATTCATACTCTCCTGTTTTTACTCACTGCTTGCCTTGGGCAATGCCTTCACATCTCTCTGCCCCAGCTTTCTCATCTGCAAAACCAAGAAGAGAACAGGAGAGTCTACCTCAGATAATGCTCATGAGTAATAAATGAGATCGTTGTATGCAGAGTGTTTGTATAGTGCCCAGGATGTAGAAATGACTCAGTATGTGTTAGTGCTTATGTTCACCTTTTCATCAGACAGTCGATAATTTAGTGTCACGTCAAAATATAGCCAGCCTCTTCAACCCCTGTGAGGTCTTTGAAGTCTTATTTATTTCTCCCTTTGCTGATTTTAGGCATTCGCCAGGAAGTGGAAAGACTGCAGGGTTTGCAGGAAGGACTGGAAAGTGATGATGAGCAGGTCCAGATCAAGATTTCTTCTAAAATAGCTAAGGTAATAAATATGGAGGAGTGGCCATGGGATGCAAAGAATATTCTGTGCTGAATTCCAAATGAGTAAGCTATATACTCCCCACTGCAAAGGCAGATAGATATTGAAGCTGAATGAAGGACCCTTGGTCCTGTGATTTTTTTTAACTTAGAGTACACCTGGCTAGTCAACACCTGTTACTGATCATTTCATACAGTGGGAAACTTTGTAGACCAAGTGTCCTTCCCCAGGATATGGGATGCTATGGGTTAGAGTGGAAGGAACAAGGGCTTTGGAGTTAATCAGATGTACTCTACATGCATTGATTGAAGCTCAGTCTCCTCATCATCAAGAAACAAAAACAAAAGACAATAGCTTACCTCTCGAAGTTGTTCTGAGGACTGGCTGATCAATTCAGTCACTCATTCACTTACCTCACTCATTCAGTCATGCATTCACTTACCTCCCTTCTCCTGAGCACCCACCATATGCAAAGCTCTATTCTGGGCACGAAGAAAGCAGAAAGTACAATCCCTGTTTCACTGAGCTTGCATCTTAGTAAACAAAAAAAAAATCCAAAAAATAAATACAATACCAGATAATGATAACAGAAAAATGAAGTCAAGAAAGGGAATAGAGAATAGGTAAGAAGTGATCCTCTGGAGGACACCCTGAAAGAGATAATCATGGAAATATCTGGAAAAGAGAATTCCAGGCAGAGGGAAAACAGCAAGTGTAAAGTCCCTGAAGTGTAGAAAGAGGGAGTAATAAGATCTAAGAGGTAACCAGTGGCTGACACAGGGGCCTTCTGGGCCTCTTTAAGGACCTTGTTTTTTGCTCCATTTGAAATCAAAATGCAAAGGAGGGTTCTGAGAAGAGTCAGGCCACTACACACAATTATGCCAATTTTGAAATGTAAAAGGGCACCCTCATTTAAGATGACATCATTCATAATGTAGACATTACAGATTTGTATTGGTGTTATGCCAATTTTCCCCAAGAGGCAGTAAACGATCCAGCAAAATCAGCACATATGACAATATACCTAACAGAGAGAAGTGAAATATCTTGAGGATGGGGCTCACATTCCAAGTGTGCAAATGCCTCTTATAGGCTAACAGGAAAAACACAACCAGACTTACATATCTGAAGGGTCACTCACAGCTATGTGGAGACTTGAATGTAGACTGTTAAGAGCAAAATTAGGGAAGTCAGTTTGGAGGAAACTGAAAGAATCCGGCTATCAAATGAGGTAGTTAGGACCGAGGAAGTTGGCTGTAGCAGAAACACAAGTAATTGATCAGCAAATGACAGAGAAGCCTTTTGGGGGACAGAAAGGGAAAATATGTCAAATGCCCTAAAAGGTGCCTGACACATAATTGCTCAAAAACATGAGTTCCCTTCCTTCCTTTCCTCCTGAGTCAACATCCATCCCAGTGTGAGACAAAATAGCTAACCATGAAGCTTGGACAACAGGTAAGCATTTGGAGTTTCAGAGAATGGTGGGAGTGGTATTGATCTTGGAACCATAGAACCAAGATCTTTGATCTTGGAACCATAATAACTCAGCAAGTGGCTTAGATGTGTGAATATTCAAGAAAAGGAGTTTGGGCCAGGCACGGTGGCTCAAGCCTGTAATCCCAGCACTTTGGGAGGCCGAGGAGGGTGGATCACGAGGTCAAGAGATCGAGACCATCCTGGTCAACATGGTGAAACCCCGTCTCTACTAAAAATAAAAAAATTAGCTGGGCATGGTGGCGCGTGCCTGTAATCCCAGCTACTCAGGAGGCTGAGGCAGGAGAATTGCCTGAACCCAGGAGGCGGAGGTTGCGGTGAGCCGAGATGGTGCCATTGCACTCCAGCCTGGGTAACAAGAGCGAAACTCTGTCTCAAAAAAAATAAGAAAAGAAAAGAAAAGGAGTTCATATCTTCTCAACATCATCCGGCCATTTAATGCAGGGGGAAGACCATTGTAAATAGGAATGTTCTCATGACTACAAAGTCATAATCATTACCATCTTGCTTAGCTAACAAGCAAACACTCAAACACCAAGTTTTCACCTGCCTTCCCACCCCTTTTTCATTAATGCACATATACAAACATACACACTCAAATTCACAGACTGCTATCAACCAAACATTCTATATAGTTCTTGTATGCAGAGATCACAATTGCAAAGTTTTTCCATTTTATTGACCTTTTTATGGACTGTTCTTAATATTGAAATATGGAAGAGCAAGAAATAAGGCTCATAACAATCCATACTCTGTATGTACACTCTCCACCACCTGAGTATTCAGCATGGCACTTAGTACATATTGATAGATTTTCTTGGATTCTCAAGGCTTAGGTATTCTGTGGCAAGTTCAAGACATGTTTCTATGATAGATGAATGTATGTAAAAGTAGTTTATGATGCATATATTGTTATATAAACATTCTGCATTATTTTTCTCTATGCAATATGCTATGACTTTAGGCTCGGAAAGGAAATTGCCTTAGCAGGATTAGGATTCAATAAATATGAAATGATAAAAAGGCAACTCCATGGAAAGTTTGCTTAGTAATAAAAGGTCATGTCTTTAGTCTGTTCTAGTGTTTTCTCCAGTTTCTGTGACCTCAATCAAAACTGTTGAAAAGTTCAGTGATTTCTAATATCCGAAAACACACCGTGGCAGCATGCTGTAGGTATCTAGATATAAAATGTGGTGATTGATTATATGAATCTTGCTGGGTACATTTTCAGATTGTCAGTAAATTCATCCCAAATGACGAAATTCTGATGTTCCTGGAGGAAACGCTGGATGGTCTGGAGAGCCTCAATCCCACATGCACAAAGGCCTGTGGCATATGGATGATTGCTGTCCTGAAGGAGCAGGGAGCTGCTCTGGAAGATCAGGTGAACTGACAGCCAGTTTTACAACCCAGCAGAATTCTAACACTTCTGAAATGCCAAGTTGGCCACCGCCTCTGTTTGTCCGCTGATAGGCAGCATGCAAAGGCTTGCACAGCCTCAAGAGGCCTCGTTAGAGACCTATGTTGTGTATTTATCAACAAGACTCACATTGAGGCCCTGTCTCAATTGCCTGTCTTGTCTTTTAACATAGAAACTTTTCAAACTGTCTCACTCTGGCTAGAGGAAGCAGCTCTGAACCTAGGCCATTTGAATGATGGAAAACTGGGTTGTTAGAGCTGTAAGGATAAAAGTGACCATGTGGATGCCTTTGAGACAACCACGAAGGGTGGGAATTCCTAATTTCACCGCTACTCTTCAGGCTTTTCTCCCACACCCCATAGTGTTTATGGTCTGGTAAGCAAGGCTGCCACTGGACTGGGGAAAGTCCTCAATTTTTCTTCCCAACTGGAGAGTTAAGCAGAGTGAACAAGATTTAAATTCAGGAAGCTTGGTTAAGAGCTCCAAATGGAGATGCCTCTATTTTCTCTACTGATCAAAAATGTAATACAAGTTATTCAAACATTTATAAGAAGGAAAAAAATCGACTGAGCACAGTGGCTAACACCTGTAATCCTAGCACTTAGGGAGACCGAGGCAGGTGGATCACTTGAGGACAGGAGTTTGAGACCAGCTTGGGCAGCATGGAGAAACCTTGTCTCTACTAAAAATACAAAAATTAGCCAGGCATGGTGGCAGGCACCTGTAATCCCAGCTACTCAGGAGGCCAAGCTAGGACAATCACTTGAACCTGGGAGGTGGAGGTTGCAGTGAGCTGAAATTGTGCCATTGCACTCCAGCCTGGGCAACAGAGCAAGACCCTGTCTCAAAAAAAAAAAAAAAAAAAGAAAAGAAAAAGAAATCTTTAACTAAATGAAAGCAACTCAAAGGGAATAAGAGAAAGAAGTTCTTGTCCCCATAGTTCAGTCAATTACCCTCAACGTAAATACTCTCCGAAGCACAGCTTTTGTGTTAAGGGCATTGGAAATTACCTCTGTGCTAATTACTTTTCAGTACGTCTTTTTAAAAACATTTATTGAGCATGTACTATGAAGTAGGTACTGGGCTAGACATGGGACAGCCAAAGTTGAGAAATGTGGAATACCCATATATTTTTGTGTGTTTAGCATAAAGAGTTGTTCACACACTAGGTAAAGGCTTACAATAGGGACCGAAATTTTCTCCAAGCATCACTGACTTGGGAATCTGTGGTAATCATAAATAAGGGCTATTTATAACTAAGGAATTATAATTCAGAGAAAATATATTCAACCTAAGTGTCTAACTTAAATGTCTATCCAAAATAAGAGAGAGAAATGTCTACCAGAAGCAAAGTTACTTTAGCATAGATACATGCCTTTGTCCATGTCAAAAATCCAAATGTATAATATCATTCCTTACCGCCCACAGATTAACATCCAAATTCATAAAGGTGACATTCAGTGCTCTGAGATCTGGCTTCATCTTTTCTATCAAGTCATCTTCCTTTTTTTACCCGCGTTCTCTCTGCACTCCAACCTGGACCATTCTCCTACACTAGAAACCTCAGCATTTTCTTATGCCCATGTTCTCATGATTTTTAAAAAATAGATTTTTTTATAGCAGTTTTAGGTTCACAGCAAAATTAAGCACAGTTCCCATCTTCCCGCTCCCCTCACATATGCACAGCCTCCCAACTATCAATATCTCCCACTAGAGTAGATTTGTTACAATTGGAAAACCTACACTGACACATCATTATCACCCAAAGTCCACAGTTCCATGGACTTTAGGTGTTGGGGTTTATGCCTGGTGTTGTACAGTCTATGGGTTTCAAAAATGTATGATGACCTGTATCCACCTGTATAAGATCATACAGAGTAGCTGCATACCCTAACAATCTTTTGTGCTCTACCTATTTTTATGTCTTTTAACTTTACATCTTTATCTGTGTTCTTCTTTCTGACAAGGATGCCCTTCCCCCCATCTATCTCCGCCTTGCCTTTTGAAATTGCTGCAGTACTTCAAGAACAAAAAAAAAAAAAAAAAAAAAAAAAAAAAAAGGCCCTCCAGTGTGACTCAGTTCCTCCTGGATTCCCCTGTCGGTCATATGCACCTCATGTATACAATTTGCCATAGACTGCCTTGACTACAGGCCTTTAGGTCTATGATTGATATTCTCTATTGAATGACAGACTCCTTTTGCAAAGGAATACATCTTTTTCATCTTTGGTAAATTCCAACAATGCCAAACACAGGACCTGTCATGCTATACCCTTTCACAAAATGTTTCCTAAATTGAATTAGGGACAAATACCTAATTCACAAATAATCCTCCTGAGTGAAAAATAGGCCATGTGTGAAATCAGTTATTATTTTTAACATTATTTATAATTCATCAACTGCCCACCCACAACAGGTACCTGTTCTGAGGTCATTCACATAGAGGGAAAATGGCAACCTAATGTTTGACTTGGCTTTTTCCTTTTTAGCTGTCGGAGATCTTGAGCACAATTTACCATCACATGCCAGTCCTTAGACAAAAAGAGGAAAGTTTTCAGTTCACGCTAGAAGCTGTCTCCCAAATAGCCAGCTTTCACATGGACACAGTTGTTGTCAACCTTTTACAGAAGCCTCTGCCCTTGGACAGGTAGATCCTTGCTGAACTGATTCCTTCTCCTAGGAAAGGCCACTCTGAAAGGCACTGGGGAGGGATTTATGGTTTGAGAGCAAGACAACAAACAAAGGTTGAAAGTAGCTCATCTGAGTAACAATTTAACAATTGGTATTTGAATCACAAGTAATGTTTTTCCAAGTGCTTTTCATATAATAGGATATGTATATGTATTGTATAATAATATTTTTAACAATGTGCCATAGGAATAAGGGAATATTAAAAAGCAAATGTTCTCTTCTTTCTGGTGGCCTAGAATGCACCTACATGGGAAATCTCCATCTTAGTGGACTTTAACAAACCTCAGTAACCCAAGGCTAGACTGCTGAATTGTTATGTAAAACGTCTTCATTATCCCCAGGCATGGCAGCCTGTCCATCTGCCCTTGAAATTGTGATTAGTCATAATGTGATTTTAGAGTGAGTCGGATGGAAAACTTACAGCCCAAGGTTGTACCTTATCTACCAATTTCCTGCTTTGCCTCCCTAGGGACACAAGGACATTGTGGAAGGTGCTGGCTGAAAAGCCAGCCTCCAATGGGAAACTCTTACGAGCCTTAATAGACAAACTGGAGACTGAGTTAGAAGATGACATCGCCCGGGTTGAGGCAATTTCAGTGAGTTGGACAGACTGAACCCATCCCTTGCCTGAGACTGTGCCATCCTCTATGATCTATCCCCACCTAGAGCTTGGTACTGTCGCATTAATGATATCGCCTCCTTTCCTCATACCCTAACTTTACTCCAGTTTATATTGGACAATTATGGCTGTACTTTTGTCTGTGGCTGATCATTTTTAGAAGCAAAATTTTCATCAACCCCCTCCCCCAAAAAATCTATGTACCTATATTTCCAGATTAGTCTTTAAGATATCCAAAGCACCCTTTTTTGTTGAAAAACCCCAATGCCGAAAATATTTTATTTTACATGACTTGCCCCCTAGCAGTCACAGGGCTAATACGGCAGTCTCTGAGTTGAGAAATTTCCAGACAAATAAACCTTCCCTTTTCTATGTGTTTTTACTATAAACATGGCCAACTTAGAAAGTAATCATTCGTAAAGAAAACAAAGTTGAAAATCAGCTCAGAGAGAAGATGGTCTTGGAGGAAGTGAGAGTGACTAACCAAGAGGCCCTGTCCCCCTTCAGGTAGCCTGTGCCATGTACGAAGTGATCTCAATGGGCATCTCTATCACCCGCTCGTATCCAGCGCTGTTCACTCTCCTCCTGAAGCTGGTTAGCTGCACACTAGACCAGAAGATGCCCACTTCTCCCCTGAGCCGCAGGCGGCGTGTGATGCAGCAGGGAGAACAGCAGCAGATCCCAGACCCCTGCAGGTAAACGGCCAGTCGGGAAGCGCCTTCCATAGCTGTCCTAATCCCACACTACAGGAGAGGCGCTGCAGAAGTCAGGGTCTGCACTTTCGCACTTTCTGGCATGGCATCCGTTGTCCATGAAGAAACAAGTCTCCACTGTTCCTAAGCCATGGCACCATAGTTCTTGAGCCACTATCCAGTGTAGCTGCACAGAATAGTCACTTAAGGAATAAGGGGCTATGCTTTCTTTCCTAGCGGAATTACTGTATAATCTTTGGTTTCCGTCACTGAGAACTTTGTAGAAAGGCTGGAATCTTGTGGTCTTCAAGGCCACCAGGGAAAGAAGAAAAATTAAAATAAATACCATAGGTCATAAATGCTAGACTTCAGCAATTGAAAAAAGCAATTTTTGCATACCATTGAGAACATAGAAAAGGACTCCAAAGTAAGCCGCGAATCAGTGCTTTCTTAAACTTTAAAATGTTTATTCTGTACTTATCAAAAGAAATCTTTTAGAATTACGAGGTCTAAATTTTCATTTTATATCACATCATTCTGCTTCCCTGCCATTTGCATAACTTTTCATTGCAATATATAATTATAGTGCAAGATTTTTAAGGACATTTTAAATGGCATTTAGATTCAACACATGTCTTTGATTGGTGCAAAAGTAATTGCCATTTTTGCCATTAAAAGTAATCATTCCAATAATACATGTAACTTTACTAAAATGATGATAGCATAAAGAGCTACACCTAAGCCAGGCAGCACATGTGAATGCACAGACCACAGCAACTACATCACAAGGACTATATGGCCAAGAACAATTGTAACACACGTCTACGCATCCTGATTTCAGAGATGCTGTTTTAGAATCAGTGAAATATGGTACTATCTGCTTTTTATTCTTAGGGCTTATTTTTTCTTTTGAGGTAGTGTTGATAAGATTTTGTGGCATTCCTTACTGGCCCACATCATCTGCATGTCCCCCTGGATCCCAAGGCTGAATTGTGAGCATAGGGCTGCCTGTTTTTCCCTTATACAACATCCCCTAGTCCGGGGATGGGAAAGCATTGTGAAGAGTAAATTTGGGAATGTGCAATTCCCTATAAAGACTGACTTCGTTTTGTAATGCTGTCTCCTTTAGGCTTTCAACTGCCACTCTAAAGTGCCTGCAAGCCCAAGCCATGAGAGAAGGCCTTGCGAAGGAATCTGATGAGGGGGACAACCTATGGACTCTACTCAGCAGTCCTAGTACCCATCACATAGGCATATGTTCACTGGCCAGGTAATGTGCAGATTTTCTAGAACCAGATAAAAAGGAGAAAACAAAACAAAACAAAAAACATGCAATACAGGCAGCCTCACTGAGCATGATTGATCCGCTTAGTTGAAGTAGGACAAACAGGGAAGAAAGCAAAGGCAGTGGGAAGAGATGGTAGGATCAGCCCCACACACACCACTGCCCTCAAGAAATGTGATTCAAGTGAACATCTTTAGACAAACTACATTTTTGAAAGAAATAAATGTTTAATATTCACATACCTAGAATTCTGTTGAACATTTTTTTATCAGCTTTAAAAAATTTTTTTATTTTTTTTATTTCAGTAGGTTTTTGAGGAACGGGTGGTATTTGGTTACATGAATAAGTTCTTTAGTGATGATTTCTGAGATTTTAGTGTACCCGTCACCTGAGCAGCGTACACTGTACCCAGTGTGTACTTTTTTATCCCTCACCCCCACTCCTGCCCTTTCCCCCAAGTCCCCAAAGTCCAATGTATTATGCTTATGCCTTTGCGTCCTCACAGCTTCGCTCCCACATGTGAGTGAGAACATATGATGTTTTATTTTCCATTCCTGAGTTACCACACATAGAATAATAGTCTCCAGTTCCATCCAGGTTGCTGTGAATGCCATTGTTTCATTCCTTTTTATGGCTGAGTAGTATTCCATGGTGTGTGTGTGTGTGTGTGTGTGTGTGTGTGTGTGTGTGTGTATATCACACTTTCTTTATCTATTTGTTGAAATGGGCATCTGGGCTGGTTCCATATTTTTTGCAATTGCAAATTATGCTGCTGAAAACATACATGTGCCCGTATCCTTTTCATATAATGACTTCTTTTCCTCTGGGTAGATACCTAGTAGGGGGATTGCTGGATCAAATGGTAGATCTACTTTTAGTTCTTTAAGAATCTCCACTGTTTTCCACAGTACTCATTTCCATTCCCACCAATAGTGAAAGAGTGTTCTCTTTTCACGGCATTCATGCCAACATCTATTTTTCTTAACGGCCATTCTTGCCGGAATGAAGTGGTATCGCATTCTGGTTTTGATTTGCATTTCTTTTCCTTGTGCTTGTTGGCCAAATCTTCTTTTGAGAATTGTCTATTTATGTCCTTAGCCCACTTTTTGATGGGATAGTTTAGAGAAACTACATTTAAATTGGGCACTTGGATAGGCCATTTTAAAGTTTAAGCCTCAGTGGCTTTCATAGGTATTCCTTTTTTCTTGGAGATGGAGTAGTCTCGCTCTACACCCAGGCTGGAGTGCAGTGGCTCAGCCTACTACAACCTCCACCTCCTGGGTTCATGCCATTCTCCTGCTTCAGCATCCCGAGTAGCTGGGACTACAGGTGCACACTGCCACGCCTGGCTAATTTTTTGTATTTTAGTGGAGATGGGATTTTACCGTGTTGCCCAGGCTGGTCTCGAACTCCTGAGCTCAGGGAATTTGCCCGCCTCAGCCTTCCATAATGCTAGGATTATGGGCATGAACCACCGTGCCCAGCCAAGCATTCCTTTTTAGACAGATTACTTGCCTGATGAACAAATAAACTAAGATTTCCTCCATTGTTTAGAAAAATAAGTCTTTGCTAAAATGTGCATTTTCTAGGAGCATGGCAGTGTGGCGACACGGAGTCGTACTGGACATCATGGAACAGCTGCTCTCATCTCTCACCTCCTCCTCGGAGAACTACCGGATAACCGGCACAGCTTTCTTCTCTGAGGCAAGGGAGAGCAGTCCTCAGAGCACACTCACTGGGTCACCTTGGGGTATTTCTCTCAGGGTCTGTAGCCCAGTAAGCTCTCAAACCAGTGAAGAGAGACTTCAAAGTGCAGGGCTTTAATAGAGGAGAGACCAGCTACTGCCAGAGATACAGTACCTCAGCAGGGGGTGAAGGAGGAAAAAGAAACCACCTCACTCACCTCCTGCCCTCTGGTTTGCAGACGGCAGAGAAAGGGGGACAATGAATCTGTAAGGGACAAAACAAAGCAATATAGCACTGACCCTTCACATTCTGGCCTAAAGACTATCCCAACCAATCCAGAGGAGGAACACCATCAGTCATCCCTGTTTCCCGTGCCCTGTTTTGCCACCAACACTAGACACATCTCTTATGCAGGTAACTTAGTTCACATCACCATGTGAGCCTGACCTATGCGCTGCTCACATCTAGAGCTCAGCTTCAGCAAGACTTGCTGGTTTATCAGAGGGCTTCCTCCTCTGCTCCACAAGTAGTGAGGTCCTCTCTTTAATTGTAGTTTTGATGTCTTTGGCACTCTCCTGAAGGGAGGCCATGCTCTTAACTAAAGGGGAGGAGTGTCTTGATTTCAGCTCATGAAGGAGCCAATCCTTTGGAAGCATGGCAATCTGCGGGATGTGCTGATCTTGATGGATCAAAGTGCTTGGGACTCCAATGCCACTCTGAGGCAAATGGCCATCCGAGGGCTCGGCAACACAGCGTCCGGGGCTCCTCACAAGGTAAAATGCATTCTAAGGGGAAATGCTTCACTTAAGTCAAGTTTTGAAATAATTATTAACTCACCCACACTTAGTAGTTACATAAAAATTAATTGGAAATCCAAATACATTGCTGATGTGATAGTTCTTGGGTTAAAGTACAGGAAGTACATGACTGACAAAAAACAATTTTCAAGATTAAGCAGTCTTATTTCAAAATAGGTGAGGAAACATAAGCAGTTAATGCTAGAATCTATCATCAGAGGCCTGTATCACCTGGCTCGCACCGAAGTTGTCTGTGAAAGCTTGAAGGCTCTAAAAAAAATCCTGGTGCTGCTCACAGACCGAGACGTGAGCTTCTACTTCAAGGAAATAGTGCTGCAAACAAGGACCTTCTTTGAAGATGTGAGTGATCCTGTTTAGTCATCTTCCCTTCCCAGAAGTGAGTGAACAGAATAAGGTAGCGCTTGCAGAATAAGGTCAGTGTCCCACCCATATTCCTCGGCCTGTCCCAGAGGTCACCTGCAGACAGTCTCCATACAAGCTCTTGGCTTCCTGGGTCTCTCTGCCTGAGGGTGCTCTATGGGTTGGGAATCATGATTGGTCTAAGCAGGGTAAGCCAGAATTGTTGGGGGAAGAAATGCCCTGGGAAGGACCCTCAAGCAATAAGAAACAAGAGTTTGTAGATAAATTTCATAGCTTCCTCATCCCTCAGAAAGATGGAGTTCCACTTGCTCATAACAGTAACACACTCATTAATACTTCCTTTCTGAGCTTTCCTCCCTTTCCTGTCTCATCCCCACTACCCCACATGCTTCCTGGGCTCACCTCCTAAATGAATTACTTGCATCTAAGTCTTCACCTCAAGGTTTGCTTTGGGGGGAAGCATAAATGATGACAGTGCTCAAGGAAGAACTAGGACCCGAATAAAGACAATGTTGCTTCCAACACTACCTTTCCACTTCCAACATTCAGAGACTCATTTTACCTAGGTGTCAGTAACCTGCAGTCCATGGACTAAATCCTACCTACAGCCTGTTTTTGTAAATAAAGTTTTATTGGAACACAGCCATACTTATTGCTTACTTATTGTCTGTGGCTGCTTTCACACTCCATAGCGGTGTTGATTGGCTGTTACAGAGACCTTATGACCCACAGAGTTTAAACTATTTACTGTCTGGCCTTTTAGGGAAAAAGTTTGCCACCTCTTGATCTACTCCAAAGCCCCAGTTTCAAAAAAGAGGAGTCAGCCATCCTTGGCAGAGAAGGGTCATTTTCCCTTATGCCTTCCAGGAAGCACATTTTAGTATTTATTTTTTTGTTTATTCACTGCCATCAATGTAAAAATGTATTTTTAACCTAGACCTATTATTTTGTAATCTAAACCTGTTTCCTCATGTGCTATTGTCAGAGGAGATGGAAAACTGCTAGTTGTCTTCTCTAGTGCATTCTTCATAAACATTATGGCTTTGTTCAATTACCTATTTACCTTACAGTCTGTGGACTTTAGAAGTCTTCATTTCCTTAATTATTCATCATAACTAATTTTTTCTGCTCATTAAATATTTTACAAGCCCATGACTGAGTTGGAACTCTAAATGAGGCTCAAGAAGTATTGGATAGAATCTAAAGAAATACTATGTCTCAAATCTAACCATTTCCTATTTCTTTGCTCCATCTTTTTTAATTTTGCCCTTTCTTCCTGATTTTGGCATTCTAACCGTATGAACCTCTAGATTTTAGTCTGTAGTATATGCCCACAGTCCATGATTCTTCAGTTTCATATTTTTGCAGTTTTTCTTGTCTATGTACTAGCCTAAACCTGGCCGTTGAAAACATCTTTCTCCTTGTTTCCATCTATTTCCTCCAATCAGCTAATATCACTTTTAGGCTAGGCATACTGGCTCATGCCTATAATCCCAGTACTTTGGGAGGCTGAAGCAGGCGGATCACCTGAGGTCAGTAGTTCGTGATCAACCTGGCCAACATGGTGAAACCATGTCTCTACGAAAAATACAAAAATTAGCCGGGAGTGGTGGTGCACACCTGTCATCCCAGCTAATCCGGAGGCTGAGACAGGAGAATCACTTGAACCCAGGAGGCAGAGGTTGCAGTGAGCCGAGACTATGCCACTGCACTCTAGCCTGGACAACAAGAATGAACTCTATCTTAAAAATAATTAAAAGTATCTTGTCCTCAAAAATGCTTACTTACTGGGCTCCCACCCAATTAGTATTTTCTGTAAAAATAACAAAGATATCCTTTATCTTCATTGTACAGGGTGGAAATCACTCCTTCAGGCCCCAGCTGTCAGGTTTCCTGGACTATTGTTGATTTGATAATAATTCTCTTAGAGCTGAGCTTCTAGTACATGACAAGTCCACTTAACAATTTTGTGGTCAAGATAATGTTTCTCAGTGTCATCAGAGAAGGATAAAATATGCTAGTCTTGCTGGTTGTTAGCTCAGAACTTGGTTATTTATTTATTTATTTTTATTTATTTATCGAGATGGAGTTTCGTTCTTGTTACCCAGGCTGGAGTACAATGGCGCGATCTCGGCTCACCGCAACCTCCGCCTCCTGGGTTCAGGCAATTCTCCTGCCTCAGCCTCCTGAGTAGCTGGGATTACAGGCACGTGCCACCATGCCCAGCTAATTTTTTGTATTTTTAATAGAGACGGGGTTTCACCATTTTGACCCAGATGGTCTCGATCTCTTGACCTCGTGATCCACCCGCCTCGGCCTCCCAAAGTGCTGGAATTACAGGCATGAGCCACCGCGCCTGGCCAGAACTTGCTCATTTCTAATAGGTGTCAACTCCATCATGTTTGCGTAAAAGTAAAGTTGGACAAAACTTTGGCTCTTAGTAATAATGTGCTACTTGTTCTCCAGTAATGCCGTCTTTTCACAAGTGTAGTTAACTCTATGATCTATTGCCCACATATTGTTCTGTGTATTAAGCATTGCTTTCCATAATCTCCAAGTTTTCTTTCTTTTTTCCTTTCAATATTTAAATACTTTCTTAGAATTTTTAAAACATGGCGACACTTGAATGAAATGGTAGAACAGAAAACGTGGCTGCTGCCCCGTGTTCCATTTCCTTCTTGCTGCTATTCCCCACACTGTCACCCTGAGCAATTGCTTTATCCTCTGTGACTCTATTTTCTCAAGTGAACATGAGGATATTGGACTAGACTTTCCCTAATATTTCTCCCAGCACCCAAAACACTGTTGGCACTTTTTTCTTTCTTATTTTTCATCATCTCAATCGGTTGATTCTTCCTCGGCTCATTGATTTTGCAAAATTCAAACTTCTTTAACTAAACGCCTCTCTACTTTTTTGGTACCTTGTTTTTGGTTAGCTTTCTCTTTCTAAATAAAGAGAGGTTTAAAAATAAATCCTGACCTTATTTATAATAAATTTTAAAAATGTGTTTCTACTTTCATTTTCATTATACAAGGTCACATCTGAGCTTTTCTGGTCTTTTCCCAACAAACCATCATTTTTTTAGAAGATCTATATTAACTTTATTTATTTATTTATTTATTTATTTATTTATTTATTTATTTATTTATTTGAGACAGACTCTTGCTCCATCGCCAGGCACCAGGCTGGAGTGCAGTGGTGCTATCTCAGCTCACTGCAACCTCTGCCTCCCAAGTTCAAGCCATTCTCCTGCCTAAGCCTCCTGAGTAGCTGAGACTCCAGGGGCATGCTGCCATGCCCACATAATTTTTGTATTTTTAGTAGAGATGGGGTTTCACTATGTTGGCCAGGATGGTCTCAATCTCTTGACCTCGTGATCTGCCTCCCTTGGCCTCCCAAAGTGCTGGCAATACAGGCATGAGCCACCACATTCAGCCAACTTTATTTTTTATGTTTATTGTTTATCTAAATAATATTCTGCTATTCAGGACTACTTTGTCTTTAATCCCTCTTTGTTCATATGGGTATTTTAAATTAGTTTTCTGGGCCTAAAAATTTTTTTTTAAATTCCATGAAATTCATCTCACTTCATTTCTTCCTTGTTGGAACTCTGAAACAATTAGTAAAGTATATGAGATAATGGGAGGCCATCTTCCTCCCCACCTTTCTCTTCTTTTCTTTTCTTCTCTCTATTTTTTTTTTTTTTTTTTTTTTTTTGAGACCATCTCGCTTTCTTACCCAGGCTGGAATGCAGTAGTACAATCGTGGCTCACTGCAGCCTCCTCCTCCCAGGTTCAAGCGATTATTGTGCCTAAGCCTCCCAAGTAGCTGGGACTACAGGCACCTGCTACCACGCCTGGCTAATTTTTATATTTTTAATAGAGACGGGGTTTCACTATTTTTGCCGGGCAGGTCTCAAACTCCTGACCTCAGGTGATCCGCCAGCTCGGCCTCCCAAAATTCTGAAATTACAGGCATGAGCCACCACACCCTGCCCCTTTGGTTTCCTAAAATCATTGCCTGCCATCGTGGACAAAAAGCAACAATGTTCCGTAACTTCACATACTCAAGAGTAGAGCTAGGCACTTCCGGGATTAACCTCTCTAAGAACCAAGGCCCAAATTCCCAACTTGCCTGTAATCCCTTTAGAAAATATTTGGTGTTGTGAGAATAGTACTGGGCCTTGGGCAATTAAGGTTAGAGGCCCCATAATTCTAGGCTAGTCATACAACCAAACTAATTTCCCTCCCTGGCCTTTTCTTTGAGTACCCCTGTTTATCATTCCTGTGCTAATGGTCACATTTCCCCACTGGCTACTCAAAGACAGAAATCAACCCTCTGGCATCACATAAACCCCCATACCCAGGGTTTTTTAAACCCATGGAGTATGGAGAGAAGGATTCAGGGAAAAGTTCTTGGAATATTTACAGGCCATGGCTATGATGCATCAGTGCCTGCGTTCCAGCCTTCTTTTGCTGAAATGGGGATAGTGGGATAAGAGCCAAGAGTGTGCTGGCAGGAATGGCATGTGATAGGATATTCACCACGACATGCGTTTGTCACCACAGGAGCAGGATGATGTGAGATTGACTGCCATCTTCTTATTTGAGGACCTGGCATCCCTAACAGGAAAAAGGTGGAAGATTTTTTTTGCTGAGGAAATAAAAAAGAGCCTGATTTCATTCCTTCTGCACCTTTGGGATCCCAACCCCAAGATTGGAGTTGTAAGTGCTCTCCACAGACATCTGCCCTCCTGCTCCCCCCACGGCTGAGATGTGCCAATAAGCCTGGTCTAGCTGCACCAGGAGCCTGGTCTAAAGTCATCCCTTAGAACTGAACCTGAAAACCACTTCTCTAATTCTGGGTTCTTTTTGCCATCTCTTCCCGAGTTTGCTCTTCCATCCTGGAAACTGAGAAGGTGCCAGCAATGACTATAAAGCCATTCACACCACTGACTTCTACTGCTTCTTTCCCAGTACTGTTCAGCACTTTTTCCCTTCTAGAGGAGATCCTAACATTCTGGACTGTGATGCAGAAAACTCTGTTTTCCAGGCTTGCCGTGATGTCTTGATTGTCTGCATTCCGTTTTTGGGCCTTCAGGAACTCTACGGGGTATTAGACCATCTCCTTGATCAGGATCTACCAAGGGCCAGGGATTTTTATAAGCTATTCTGTATGAAACTGGTGAGTGTCCAATAGATGCCACCTTGAAAAAAGGCAGGACAAGAGTCTCAACAAACCCTAGAAGAGCAAACAACGTAGCGAGGAATCTCTGGCCGGAGCCGGAACTGCCTTGGAAGGATAGCAGTGACCCGGTGTCCTGCCACAGGACCCTCTGCTCATTTCCCAAGTCCTGACTGGGATCTATTCTCTTCGGTTCCTAACATTCGTATCTGTTGGTTAATCCCTTAAACTCTCATGCCTTCCTGATTAAATGTAGATCAAAATACCCACACGACAATTTTCGGCCAATTAATTTATGGATGTGTGAGTGCTCACTGGCCTTTACAGATCCAGTCTGAGGACCTATAGGATGCCAAATGTCACAAAGGTTCACTTTCCACTTGCCCTGTTTGTAATTCACATCTCTTCTAGGCCAAGAAAAACCAGGAAATTCTGTGGATCCTCCACACACACTCCTACACCTTCTTCACCAGTAGCTGGGAGATAATCAGGAGTGCAGCTGTCAAACTCACAGGTGAGTACGCATCACCATTTCCTACCCAGATATGTCTGCTTTTTCCATCTAGTTTTACTTTGACCAGAAGCTGTCCTGTGTGGATACTAGAAGACGAGTATAACTTTTTGATTAAAGCCCAGGAAGGGCTTTTACCTTCCATCTTGTAACATCCTCCCTCAAAGAAACCTGCTTCCTTTGGCAGTGAAAACTCATAACCTCTCCTGACTTGCCTACACTCACTCTTCTCCCATCTTGAGCCCTTCATGCTCCTTCCAGCTCTGAGTCCTTGCCCCTTCTTTTCTCCAAATCTTTGCTCCCAGCTGCTGCCTTTACATAAACACTTTCCTTCACCTCGTCCCATAAGATAAACTATCCTCAGCATCCAAAGTTCAGTTCAAGCCGAGAGCTTTGGCAGCATTATACAAGTGGAAAGCATGTTAATGTGGGGCCAGCAGCCTGTGGCTCTCCCATGTGATTCTGGAAATTGACTTAACATTATGTTACCTCTCTGCCTGATATAAAATAAAACATAAATAAATCTCTAAGGATCTTTCTATCATGAAATTCTAACAGACCCACTCCCTTCACCACCTTCAAGACCAAATTAAAAATCTGAGGATTCCTTTTTGAATCACATATGATCTCTACCAACTACATTATAAACTTTTTGAAGACTGAGACCCTGTGTTACACAGATTTGAAATCTCAACAACAAGTAGCCTCCTCAGAAGATCATGTGTGAACTCTGCCAAATACTCTGGATAAGTGACTACTTGCAGACATGGCACTCAGGACCCAATAGAAGTCACCCTCACATCATTCTGAGGGGTGCAAAGGAAGTCATATAATTTGCTAATTCACCAACCTACCATTTACATTCTCACCAGGTGCAGAGGCTAACCTGATCTATTTTTCTTGGCCTCTCCTTCTATAATGAAACCAGTAACACTGTCTCATATTAACTTTAGATGCCATCATTCTCAATTTGACCAGCCAATACGTGGAGTTATTAGACAGAGAACAACTGACCACACGTGAGTATCAACCTTAGTTTCTGCCCAGCATATTGTTACCTTGTTAGGAAAAGAGAAAATATTGCTGCTCTAAGTTCCACATGAGCCCAGAACTTGAAAATCTTAATATCAATTATTGTGTCTGATGCTCTCTAGACTCTAGAATTTCCCCAGGCTATAAAGCCACCTCCAGCTCCACCCCTTTGCAGGCATCAGAAACACCAATAGATTACAACTTTCCAATTGCCTAAACCTACTGATCACAAAGTCAGGGCCTTCTCTTCCTTTATTTCAGTGTTAAAATCATTCTCGTAGTTCTGCATCCCACCTTTTAGGATAAAATGTGAGCATGAGGACCCGAGCCCCGCTTGGGTCTGACCCTCAGTGCTGAAAAGTTGGGCCTTGGTTTGGTCTGCCCTTCTTGCTGCGCTCTGACTCTCCTCATCCACCTGACTTTGCTATTTTTGGCATTTCAGGGCTCCAAGCACTTCGTCAAGATACCTGTATTAGCGTCCAGAGAGCCGCCGAGGCCGCCCTGCAGACCCTCCTGAGAAGGTGTAAAGAGACAGGCATTCTTCTGTAAGCCATCAAGAAATAAACTGCTGCCTTTTTCTATAACTGACTCCCGTCTTCATCCTATTACCTCCCAAACTTGCAGCATTTTGAGGAAAACGATGCCACCTAGAATGTGGGTATTGAAGTGGTGATATATTCCTTCCTCTCCAGAATCTCCCTGGTGGCTTCCATTAGCAAAAAGCAAATCCCACAAGTTCACTTCAGGGATAACCTGTGATTTGGATAGTGACAGCCACAGAGCTTTGCATAGGTTAGCCCTCTATCTTGAGAAAGTAAGTCCCAGCAGACTTCAAAGAGGCAGAACTTGACCCACATAATTCTGCTGCCACTAAAAAGAGGTCCACTGTTATTTTCCTCATGTAACCCTTTCCTCTCAGATCTTTGTCAGCTTTGAATTACTACCCACATTCCTCTTTTCAAAATCAGTCTTATGATAAACTTTAACCTGCCTATTCTCTCCCAGGTTGCAATTTATGCGTCAAGACTATGCCAGGTAATTTTCTACAAAAGACCCTGTCTGACATTCTATTAAATGTCATTATCTCCTTTCTACTTTTATACTAGAGCAATAGTGCATATGCACGCACACAAGCACATGTATGTGTGTGTTCATGAGTGTGTTCATTTCTTCATAGTATTTGGATTTTTATTCTTTTATTTTTCACAATGTATAAGTGAAAGGTTACATACATGAAATTATATACCTAAAAATGTTTTCTTTCTTTCTTTCTTTCTTTCTTTCTTTCCTTTCTTTCTTTCTTTTTTTCTTCTTTCTCTCTTTCTTTCTCTCTCTCTCTCTTCTTTCTTTCTTTCTTTCTTTCTTTCTTTCTTTCTTTCTTTCTTTCTTTCTTTCTTTTTCTTTCTTTCTTTCCTCTCTTTTAAAAAGGAGTCTTGCTCTGTCACCCAGGCTGGAGTACAATTACACAATCCCAGCTCACTGCAACCTCCACCTCCCAGATTCAAGCAATTCTCCAGCCTCAGCTTCCTGAGTAGCTGGGATTACAGGCACCTGCCACCACGCCCAGCTAATTTTTGTATCTTTTAGTAGAGACAGGGTGTCACCATGTTGGTCAGGCTGGTCTCAAACTCCTGCCTTAAGGTGATTTACCTACCTTGACCTCCCAAAATGCTGGGATTACAGGCATAGGCCACCACGCCCAGCCCTGAAAAGAAGTTCCTAACACAGGTAATGGTACTCATTTAAATGCACCATTATGACCATCTATTAGCACCATTATTAATGTATTACTTTAGAATGCCCCTGTAAATTTATATTACTTATATTTTAATCTCTTCATCGCCAAGCTCTTTGGGGAAACATCTTTGTTTCTACAAAGCCTAGAGAGCAATCAAATCTTTTGCAAAAGAGATTATGGACTAGGAGTCCATTTCTTCATTTATTTAACAAATATTTATTGAATGCGTACAGCTTTATAAGGCATTGTTATAGTCACTGGAACCACAACAGGGAGGGAAAATAGAAAAATCCTGTTCACAATAGCAAAGACTTGGAACCAACCCAAATGCCCATCGATGATAGACTGAATAAAGAAAATGTGGCACATACACACCATGGCATACTGTGCAGCCATACAAAGGATGAGTTCATGGCCTTTGCAGGGACATGGATGAAGCTGGAAACCATTGTTCTCAGCAAACTCACACAAGAACAGAAAACCAAACACTGCATGTTCTCACTCATAAGTGGGAGGTGAACAATGAGAACACATGGACACAAGGAGGGGAACATCACACACTGACGCTTGTAGATGAGTAGGGGGATTGGGGAGGGGTAGCATTAGGAGAAATACCTAATGTAGATGACAGGGTGATGGATGCAGCAAACCACCATGGCATGTGTATAACAATGTAACAAAACTGCATGATCTGCACATGTACCCCAGAACTTAAAGCATAATAAATAATTCTTTTTAAAAAGAAAAATTGTGCCTTCATAGAGCTCTTACTCTGTAAAGTGTGTGTATATATTCCAAGGAATGGAAGCAGCCTCCCAGTGATTTCTGCCTCCTGGTATTCATGCTCCTGGGAAGTCCCCTCCTACTATGAATAAAACTGACCTGTGCAACCAATACAATATTTCAGAAATGATGGAATATGACTTCTAAGACAAGGTCATAAATGATAGTGCATTCTCTTGATTGATTCACTCTGGAAGAAGCTAGCTGATGTGTCATAAGGACACTCAAGCAGCCCAGTGGAGAGGTCCAAGCAGCAAAAAACTCCTGCAAACAATGAGCACTCAGTTGCAAGGTATGTAAGTGAGTCATATCCGGAATGGATGCAAGAGCCCATTAGTCTACAGATGATTGAAACCCCAGATCACTCACACATTGATTGCAACCCAGGATTGTGAGATAAAATACACATGCCCAGTTACATTTGAATTTCAGATAAATGTTGAATTTTTTGGTAAAAATATATCCTAGTTATATGTTACACTAAAAAATTATTTGTTATTTATCCTGAATTCAAATTTAGATGAGCGTCTCATATTTTTATTAGTGAAATGTATTCAAGCAAAATCTAATGAGAATCTTTAACCAGAATCATTAACCAAGCTATTTCCAAATTTCTGAACCATGAGACTGTGTGGGATAATAAAACTTTGGTGTTTTAAGCCACTACGTTTTGAGGTAATTTGCTAGGCACCAATAGGTAACTGTTACACAGAGAGTTTATGATCCCACCAAAGTTATATACAAATTTCGGTATAGAAATGCAAAGGTTCATTTTCTGGGTAATGGGTTTCATGAAATTCTTAATGGAGTCAGAAGCTATTCCTAAGCATAAGATATGTGAAACAGAACAAAAAAACAAAAAGAAGGGAAAACACATGGGTTTAGTTGACTTCTTTTGGCAGATTATTTTAAGTCAAATGACCTTGCCAAATAGTGCTACCCATTATAACTTCTGCAATGATGGAAATCATTTTTTCTTTCCATACTGACAAACATAGTAGCCAGTAGCCACATGTATCAACTTGAAATGTAGGTAGTTGAGGAATTTGATTTTTAATTGTAGCTAATTAATTTAATTTTTATTTTATTTATCCATTTAAAAAATAAAACCTAATTAATTTTAATTAACAGAAATTTAATAGTCATGGATAGCTAGCAATTATGGTATTGACAGGACAGTTTCAAAATGTAGGGCAAAAAGTATTAATAGAATTTGGGTTGAGCCACCCTAGAACTATAGGATGTCCTTGACAGGAGTGTAAATTCACTCACATAGGACTTGGTCAGGTATTTATGTATCTCCACCACACCCCCAATCCTAGCCTGCGCCATAGCGCCTTTCTCATAGATTGATTGAGATTAGGTAGAAGGGACACATGAAACACATTGCCTCTGAACCTTTAACCGTCTAAACTCTCATCTTAGATTCATCTTGGCAAGAATTTCTAGGACTATCTTTCTCACAAATCTTGGTTCCACCACTTACTACCCATTTGACTTTGAAAAACCACTTAACCTCTCTGTACTTCAATTTCCACATCTGTAAAATCAGAATAGTAATTTGATTATTATTATCTGACTATGTGTTAGTCCATTCAGGATGTTAAGACAAAATATCTAATACTTAGTAATCTGCACGCCACAGAACTTATGCTCACAGTTCTGGGACTGACAAGTCCAAGATCAAGGTGCCAGTAGATTTGGTGTCTGGTGAGGGCTCATTCTTCATGTGCTGTTCTTTCTTGCTGTGTCTTCATGATGGAAAAGGCAACAAGCTTCCACAGGCCTCTATTATGAGGGTACTAATCCCATTCATGAGGGCTACTTTGCTGTAGGGGTGAAGCCCTCATGGAGAACCTCTGCTAGGGCAGTGCAGAAGGGAAATGTGGGGTCGGAGCCCCCACACAGAGTCCGCAACGGGGCACTGCCTAGTGGAGCTGTGAGAAGAGGGCCACTGTCTTCCAGACCCCAGAATGGTAGATCCACTAACAGCTTGCACCATGCACCTGGAAAAGCCACAGACACTCAATGCCAGCCCATGAAAGCAGCCAGGAAGGGGGCTGTACCCCACAAATCCACAGCGACGGAGCTGCCTAAGGCCATGGGAGCCCACCTCTTGCATCAGTGTGCCTGCATGTGCGACATGAAGTCAAAGGAGATCAATTTGAAACTTTAAGGTTTAATGACTGCCCTACTGGATTTCAGATTTGCATGGAGCCTATAGCCCCTTTGTTTTGGCCAATTTCTCTCATTTTGAATGGGTGTGTTTACCCAATGACGGTACCTCCATTGTATCTACAAAGTAACCAAATTGCTTTTGATTTTACAGGTTCATAGGCAGAAGGGACTTGCCTTGTCTCAGATGAGACTTTGGACTTGGACTTGAGCTAACGCTGGAAGGAGTTAAGACTCTGGGGGACTATTGGAAGGGCATGATTGTGTTTTACGTGAGGATATGAAATTTGGGACAGACCAGGGGTAGAATTATATGGTTTGGCTATGTCCCCACCCAAATCTCATCTTGAATTGTAGTCCCATAATCCTCATGTCATGGGAGGGAAATGGTGAAATGGTGAGAGGTAAATGAATGATGGGGGCAGTGACCCTCATGCTGTTCTTATGACAGTGAGCTCTCATGCTTTTATAAGGGGTTTTCCTCCTTTTCTCAGCACTTCTCTCTCTTGCGCCATGTGAAGAAGGACATATTTGCTTCCCCTTCCATCACGATTGTAAGTTTTCTGAAGCCTTCCCAGACATGCAGAACTGTGAGTCAATTAAACTTCTCTCTTTTATAAATTATCCATTTTGGGGTATTTCTTCCTAGCAGTGTGAGAAGGGATTAATACAGCCTCCTTAAGGGTCTCAGGAAAATAAAGTTGCAGAGGAAAATCATGTCAAGTACTCTTGAAGAAGTTACAGATTTCTTTTAGTCTCACTGCTGTTGTTTTTCTCACTCTGATTTGCACATATAATCATTTTTCAATTTATGTTTACTTTAGGCTGGAGATTTTGTAATGTTCATGGACTGCCTAATGGCTGAGCATTGCTTTGAAGAACTCT